ATTTTGTAAAATTCTATATAACTTTACTTCTCAGTTTAACCCAATCTACTCTAATCTTTGGTGTCGCCCATATCGAATCAAACACCCTGTATATGATCATATGTGAAAATTTTTTCCCGGGACCTCAAGTGTAAAATCATTAAAATAACTGAATAGAAATGTTAAAACAACACAATATGTACTTAGTTTTTAATCTGACACAATACATATTTTTGTGTTAAAATATTAACAGAGTATTAGTGTGATTATTTAACATATCCGTATTATGTTAAATTAACAGAAAAATTTGTGTGGACCGTTTGGGACATGTGATATCTGTTAAATTTAGCACAAATTTCTCGACTGTGCAGTAGTACTGCAAATACTGCATTATGACGAGGGTCGTCATGTAAAAGAGCCAAGGCGTCGCGTGTGAGGCGCCGGGCCACACGCCAATCAAATCGAGACCGATCTTCAGCAACGAGCAACGAACTTACAGTACTTGTCAACATGGTAACGTGTAACATTGAACCATCCCTTCGGCAAACCGTGCACGTCGTCCCCTTCCAACGAGAATGTGAATAACGACTGTACGAGAACTGATGTCGTGAAGAAAATGTGGCAATAGAGATCGTCGGTCTACCTCCGTAGTGCGCTCCCCTCCACGATGTCACAAGAGAGGCAGAGTAGACCGAGGCGAATCGGACAACTTTTAGTTCAACATCGACGCCAAACTGCAAACAATGTGCACGCACGGGCTTTTGTTTTAGAAGCGGAGGAAAAAGACAAAGCGCACCAGAATAATAAGTTTCGATCGGTATGTAACAATTATGGCCTTAATCTTGTGATCCGATTCGCCTCGGTCTACCCTGGAACCATTTTACAGGGTAAAATCGCTACGTTTGTGCGAGCGCGACGATCGATCGCAATCACACATTTTTCTGTAAATTGCACGACAAAGCGAACTAAATTGCAATGATAAATAAACAACTGTAAGCTTCAGTACACAAAAACCCGTTTTTTCAAATGCAAATGCCGTTGCCGTTGTTGATAATTTCTTTGCAAAAACATTAGAAAACTGAACTCATGTTTCTAGTAGATCTGAAAACGTAATATTTTCGCCATAAGATAAATTGCGCAAATAACATACGATATTTAAATGCTGGGATATTTGCGGATATTTGTGTCAACGAAAAGAAAAAGAAATGTCACAGAAAAGAAAATTGAAACGTCGGCTGCGGTGCGAACGCAAAGAGATACAATAAGAAGACAAATTTATTACATTTTTATTTGTGAATAAGGTTTTAATGTTATTATTAAAAAATATATATATACGTTCGTACAATCCATTTCCTTCGTATCTGTAACAAGTCTATTGAAAAAAGTTTGCAACGTATAATTTATCACTGACGCGGAGCGTTTATTAAAACTGTGGACAGATGATACTTCTGCCAGCTTTAATTCATAGCGTGCAGTACAGACATGTACGAGGCAGAAGCTTTCATGACCTGAGAAAGATTCAGTAAAAGAAAGAGGCATGAAAAATTAAGAATTTTATCCACACGTGCCGATGTCTTACGCTCATAAATCCTTCTAAAGTGAGATCAAAGAGTTTCCCCGCGGTGATTGTCAGTCGCTTCTGCGATCTCATCATTATGAATAACAAAATCCGACTGTCGGCCGGCACCATATTGTACCAAAGTGACTCATATACCGCGTCGCTAATCGATTTACTCTGAAAAGCGTGACCCAAATTCAGAAAACACATGAGTGAAACGATCATTTACATATTAGTTATTATATAGTGTGGTGTATTAATTCGGCTCGGATAAAATAATTAGAGATGGACGAAACTTCCTTGATTATTTAAACATAAAGCTTGGCGATAGGACAAGAATCGAATTAATTCACCGGACTTATATATGTATACACTGACAATGAGACAAATGTATAAAGGAAAGTCCTCTATTATGAGATAGGCTTCTAATATGAAGGAACGGGTTTTTAACATAAAAATTTAATCACAAATCTTTGTTTACAACGATTACACAATGTAACATTTTCCACTAAACAGATTTCATTCCAAGGGCAATAAATTAACGATGGAATCAACAGATGGAATCAAATGATGTCTATTAATTTAACAAAAACCCTGCTATCTCATAATAGGGGACTTTCATATATATATATATATATATATATATATATATACATATATCATTTGTTCATTGGCCGTGTCGGCTCAGTGAGAGAGCCGAGAGCCAAGAAGAAGACAAAGAAGAAGAATCATTTGTTCATAATTGATATATAATGTACGTTGAGATATATATACATATATATTGTATATAATAAGAAGAAATACGTAATCACGAGTACTCTGCGCGTAAAAAAAACATTCCTTTACTCACCTTGGCGCTCAAAAACTCCCCTGCGTAACAGAATACGAAGACCTCTACTGTTTTTACAAAATAAAGAATGAACGCCTTTGCTAAAATTATTATGCCCTTCTTGCTACTGAGTGCCTGCGGAAGAAGGTGAATTATCGATCGGAAGATCGGGACAGTCGGGTCTTGCTTACAAGCATGATCATGAAACCAGTGAAACAGATGGTTAAAGTGTTCCACAGGAGTTGCATCAGCGAAATGGACGAAAATAGATTTTCGATATCGTCCGACAAAGTAATAATCCTTCGGTGTCTTTGAATGAGATCATTGATGACGGTTGAAGATACACCGAGTCCGTCGCTGTGTACGTCCAGTATAGCTTGTCGCATGATGTCGATCTGACCAGCTACATGAAGTATCTATAAACACAAAACGGAAACTAAAAAAGGCGAATTTTTATTGGCAATTGCAGTTTCCTCGCATCTAGAATGGCAAAGAGGGATTTACAATGAATTATCGTATACTTACCAATGTAGCAAGCAACGCGTTTATCATACCAACTACAGAGGCCAGCGACAATATGTAAAACATTTGGACGGCGAGAATGCATTCGAAAAGCGGAGATTCTAGGACCGCAAAAGTGAACTCCATTTTCATTGGGAATTCTCGAGAAACCTCGCCGCCAGCATTGCTCCGCGGGCGGAAAATGTAAGCGACGATTGTTAAGACAAAACCAGCTAAAATGTGGTTACCGATGAGCACGACGGAGCAACGACGCGATTTAGTTGCGTGTGACATCATGATGGAATAAGAATGGTTGATAACGCGATCATTCCAGTCTCTGTCCATTGCTGCCAGGATATTATGGAATATCCTGCAGAGAGTTCATCCTTTTATCGAACAACTTCACGCGTTAATCAGTTTTTATCATGAATAAGAAGAAATACTAAGTTCTCGAAACGTTTAACGTAACTCTATTCAGAAATGTTTACAGCAAAATATTACTTTCATTAATAACCATCAAACCTACGTTAAATCATTTACTGCCTCTTATATGTCTTAAAAAATTTCTTGACAACAAATATCGCATGACAAATAGAACTCATGTTAAGATCACGAGACACGGTAGTGTCTCGCGCCAAGTATAAGCGACTAAGTATAAGCGACAAACTAAACCACGCGCGCGACACCGACCGTGTAGTTTACGCGAGTACGCGAGTATATTTTACTTCAATATCACATAATAACAGTTTTATTTCTACTTTTTCTCACATTCTCTCTCGCTCTCTCGTTCTCTCACTCTTGCTCTCTTTCTCTCTCCCCCCCCCCTCTCTCTTGCTCTTAGCATTTACAGATTTTGAACAATATTTTTAACAATGGCTTCCTCGCTCAGAGATTAAAACAAAGAACTTTACCTCCGATTCCACCGTAATGAAAATAGCTTAAAAAAGCCGAGACTATTCGCCAGGGTGATACCCAAACAATCAGCTAAAGGTATAAGATTACTCATGTTAAAATGCACAACAATGTACGAATATTGAAAATATTGCAATATCACAATCATCGTCATGTACATAGACCAATAGACATTCGGGTAGGCCGAGTCCGGCCACATGCCAATAAAACGGAGACCGATTTCGACGGGACGGCTAATGGTAGTTGCGCGTTTCATCGCTTCTTCAAAACTGCCGGTCTGGAAAAACTAGATGGTCACGTCTACGCATAGAAAGTTGACGTGTGCCTCGCGTGATAACAACAAAAGTACAAATGCTGAATAACCACAGCGAAGACGATGGAGCGCAGACAGTAGCGATCAATTGTAATTACACCTCGCCAATCGCATTAATTCTTGAAAGCTCGCGGGTGCATTAAAAGCAAAAACGACGATGATACCGCTCCCCTTCTGAGGCGGTGAGTAATGTAATAGTTGCATGATGGCAAATAATTACTTTAAAATGAACGTCTAACTCGACTAAATGTCGGTTTCAGCTGTGTCCTATAAAAAAATTATGAAAAAGTTAAAGTCTGCAGAACATGTATGTGTAAACGGAAAGAGAAAAGCGGAGAATTACAATAACTTAATATCTGGTGGTTAGAAGCGACTCATCTTGCTATTAAGTTTTTTGTCCCTCACTTATGTACACGCTCACATTTTGTCCCGTCTTGCTATGCTTCTCCAATAACCAAAGATGCTTTCGGGGCGACCGAGAAGTTTGACGGGAAAAGTGAAATTGTCAGCATACAATAGAGAACCATAAGTATAATTGTCAATTGTATGTAATCGTAAATTGTATTTAGTAATAAATATGTTAATATAAGAAAAATACATACCTATAGAGAGACAATACAAGAAAGAGGAGGAAATTCATCAGAGATTAAATAATTGAGAGAAAATCCTATTTCTAAAGAAAAACTTTCTAAAGATTTATTTAAAAAAAGCTTAAGTATGTTGTTGCTAAAACTTTTGCATGCATTTTCGTCAGATATGTACCATTTTTCATAATAATTTAGATAAAAATTTATTTGATTTAGAATAAATGTCATCAGTAAAGTATAGTTATTCAGTTAATTAAAACTAATTACAACAACTCTCTGACTTTCCATCATAATTTGTTCAACTTTATTCACTCAACAATAATGACAAAAAACTATGAATACTAGATTACTAGAATACTAGATTAGGAAATTGTAAGAGTCTAACATAGTTCTGCTTCTGCACATCTGATTTTGATTCTGATTTAGTACATCGCATTTAATACTGATATATAGGAAATCGAAGCCTTCATAATCTAAAAAAAATTATCCTCGATTAATGGGGTATACATAGAGTAGACGAAAAGAGATTGTTGATAACATAACATCATCTTACACTTGTAAAACCTTCGAAAGTCAAATCCATGACGCTTCCTGCGGTGATTGTCAATCGTTTTTGGCATCTTAACATCATAAATAATATAATGCGACTGTCGCTTGGCGATAGATTATACCAAAGTGACTCGTATATTGCGTTGCCAATCGACTTACTCTGGACTCGAGATGAACGTATAAAACATCCCGAAAAGGTGACAATAAATTCAAAAATATTTTTATCGATAAAGATTTTCTACTCTAATATTTTTTAATGATAAAAGTAATTTTAAAACATAAAATATGTTACACAGTTTATCATCGTTTAAAATAAAATAAATCAAAAGGAACACACTAGTAGTGTCTCTAAAATATATTAAAAAGACTCGTTTACATACCTTGGCACTTAAAAATTCCCCGGCAAAGCAATATATAAACACCTCAGAAATTATTGCGATATAATAAATCACGGACTTGACTAAATTTGATGTATCTTCACCTGAATTGATAATCTGCAACAAGATAAAAGAAGAACGTTATTATTTGAAATGTGGAAAAGTGACCGTCATTACTCACAATTATAATCACAAAACCAGTGCAACACATAACTAACGTATTCCACAGAAGTTGCATCAGCGCGAGATTAGTGTACAGGTTCTCTATATTTTCTGATAAAGTAATAATCTTCTGATGCTTGCAAATGAGACCTCTGATAACGAGTAGGAACGCATTGCGATTGTATTTTCCGAATATTTTAGAAATTTCGATTAAGTCTTGTTGCATAATGTCGATCTGACCGTTCACATGAAGAATCTATAAATATCAGATAATTTACATATATCCGTTATCTGGAGTAATATCTTGTCGGAATAATAATGGAAGATTATTATTCTAACTCTTCAATCTCCTTGAATCTTATTGTGTACTTACCAAGGTAACAAGTAACGGATTTGTCAAGCCGACCACAAAAGCTATTACCATATCGTAAAGAAATTGTCCGATTAAAAAACACTCAAAAATCGGCGATTCGCTAACGTCGAAAGGGAATTCCATTTTTATTGGAAGTTCTCGAGAACTATTGCCGAACTGATCAACATCGTCCATCGATTGAATTAAATGCTCGCCAATCGACAGAAAGAAAGCAGAGGAGGCATAGAGACTAAGCATTACATTAGCAAAGCGGCTCGACGTATCCGCCATGCTCGTCATCGTGGACCTATATGAAACATTATTTACGCACTCACTCCAGTCTTGATCAATCGCCTTCACAATGTAATAGAATATCCTGCAGGACATTTCTTCATGTGTAACGAGTCACGAAACGTCTATGTAGCTTTATTAGATGCAACGGTATATCTTGACGCACACATTAGCCTCGTCGAGATTATGTAACGTTACCATAATTATTAGAATTAGATATAGATATATTCTATATCATTCTCGTAAAGAAACACATCTTACCGACGGTTCCACCACAGAACAAGGAGTTTGAGAAAAGCGAGGCTGTACGCCAGGGTAAGACTAAGACAGTCCATGAGGAGCCAAAGATCGTTCAAGTCAAAATGTGCGAATATGTACGCATATTGATAATATTGCACTATTACTACTGTTGTCATGTAGCTAAACCAATAAAGATTCGGATACGCCGAGCCCGGCCACATGCCGATGAAACGGAGGCCAATCTCGACCGTACGGTTGATGGTGTTTGTACGCGTCATCGTTATTTCTTAACTGCAAAATATTAAAAATCGAAGACTACGAGGTCGATACACAAAAAGCACGTCGGTACATCAAAGTACGTGTATGTCGTTCAATATGTTCCACGTGATGGTTGAAACACTAAATAATCGTAGCGGTAATACCATAAAACTGCTCCGAACATAAATCAATCGCAATTATCTCGAGCGTTCTTATCGCATTAGGTAATGCACGCTTATAGTTGTACCGATTAAAAAAGACATACGATTATGTCCGCTTCTCCGCTGAATTAATAAATGCTTTGGTTTTACAGAATAACAGGTAATCGCTTTCGAACTGTGCATTTCTGTTCCAAGGGGCAATTTTATCTATATCCATCGGAAAAAAAGTACGCGCAGAGTCGTGGCAAAAACGTTTGCACACCACAAAAAAATAGAACAAAGAAGTTCATTATAATTATTAAATATGGTCGTAGTATATCGAACCCGTAACAGAGTACGTGTAAAAGTCGTCAATTTTTGCTCCCAACTGGCAAGTGAAATTTGCATGTTTTTTATGTGATGAAGTGATATATGCAGTTTTTAAGCTGCAGAACCACGTGCGATCAGTTTTCCAGAAACACGAAGGAAACGTATGTGAAAATGTGAAAGGAGTGAGTAAATAGACACGGATGTGCCAGAAGAATGAGATACACAGATTCTTTTGTGAAAAGTTCAATCCCTCCGAAAACCATCAAATGTATAACATTTTGTTGTAATAGAGTTGAAACAGAGGAGAAACAAACCTATGGAAATTGCGGCTCTCAAGCTATGGAAAATTGGCCCTTTGTCGGACCAAATGACGTGAAAATCCGATCGCGCAACCTCCCGGCAGTGCACATTGAGTAACGCTGACGCCGAAGGTATGAATGGAATTAACATCAAGGTCGATTATTATGTCATTAAATTGACAATTAAATTGTCGTTAAGAGTCTCGAGTATGTTGTTGCTAAAACTTGTGCATGCATTTTCGCCAGATATGTACCATTTTTCATAATAATTTAGATAAAAATTTATTTGATTTAGAATAAATGTCATCAGTAAAGTATAGTTATTCAGTTAATAAAAACTAATTACTGCAACTCTGACTTTCCATCATAATTTGTTCAACTTCATTCACTCAACAATAATGACAAAAAAAACTATGAATACTAGATTAGAAAAATGTAAGAGTCTAACATATTTCTGCTTCTGTACATCTGATTTTGATTCTGATTTAGTACATCGCATTTAATACTGATATATAGGAAACCGAAGCCTTCATAATCTAAAAAAAATTATCCTCGATTAATGGGGTATACATAGAGCAGACGAAAAGTGATTGTTGATAACATAACATCATCTTACACTTGTAAAACCTTCTAAAGTCAAATCCATGACCCTTCCTGCGGTGATTGTCAATCGTTTTTGGCATCTTAACATCATAAATAATATAATACGACTGTCGCTTGGCGATAGATTATACCAAAGTGACTCGTATATTGCGTTGCCAATCGACTTACTCTGGACTCGAGATGAACGTGTAAAACATCCCGAAAAGATGACAATAAATTCAAAAATATTTTTTATCGATGAAGATTTTCTACACTCTAACATTTTTTAATGATAAAAGTAATTTTAAAACGTAAAATAGTTTACACAGCTTATCATCGTTTAATATAAAATAAACCAAAAGAAACACACTAGTAGTGTCTCTAAAATATATTAAAAAGACTCGTTTACATACCTTGGCACTTAAAAATTCTCCGGCAAAGCAAAATATAAACACCTCAGAAATTATTACGATATAATAACTCACGGACTTGATCAAATTTGTTGTATCTTCGCCTGAACTGATAATCTGCAACAAGATAAAAGAAGAACGTTATTATTTAAAATGTGGAAAAGTGACCGTCATTACTCACAATTATAATCACAAAACCAGTGCAACACATAACTAACGTATTCCACAGAAGTTGCATCAGCGCGATATTAGTGTACAGGTTCTCTATATTTTCTGATAAAGTAATAATCTTTTGATGCTTGCAAATGAGACCTCTGATAACGAGTAGGAACGCATTGCGATTGTATTTTCCGAATATTTTAGAAATTTCGATTAAGTCTTGTTGCATAATATCGATCTGACCGCTCACATGAAGAATCTATAAATGTCAGATAATTTACATGTATCCATTATCTGGAGTAATATCTTGTCGGAATAATAATGGAAGATTATTATTCTAACTCTTCAGTCTCCTTGAATCTTATTGTGTACTTACCAAGGCAACAAGTAACGGATTTATCAGGCCAATCACAAAAGATATCATCATGTGGTAAAAGAATTGTCCAAATAAAAAACACTCAAAAATCGGTGATTTACTGATATCGAAAGGGAATTTCATTTTTATGGGAAGTTCTCGAGAACTATTGCCGAACTGACTGGCATCGCCCATCGATTGCAGCAAATATTCGCCAATCGATAGAAAGAAAGAAGCGAAAGCATAGAAACTTAACGTTACATTAGCAAAACGGCGTGATATATCCGCCATGCTCGTCATCGTGGATCTATACGAATCATTACTAATGTACTTACTCCAGTCTTGATCTATCGTCTTTACAATATAACAGAATATCCTGTAGGAAATTTCTTCATGTGTAACGAGTCACGAAAGATGCTGGCTTAAATTTGACTTTATTCACGAAGCAACACTATATATCTTTACACATTTGCCTCGTCGAGAATATATAATGTTAACTTAATTATATTAGAATTAAATACAGACACATTCTTTATATCATTCTAACAGGGCTGGGAAAGTTATAAAAGTATCTAGTTACATTTACAGATTTTCTGCTAAAAATGTAACCAGTTACTCAAAAAGTAACGAAACGTTACTTTGCAGTTACTTTCTTGCAACGAAAATAAAAATATCAAATCTGTATTTTAACTGTAAAGCATCGATAAAGGCATTTATGAGCAAATGCAAGGCTTAATGCGATCTGTGGAAGTTTAAAAAATATATAAAGTAACTATTAATGTAACTATTAAATTAATTACTAGTTATCGACAAAATGTAACCAAGTTAAGTTACAGACGGAGAGAAAGTAACAAAGTTAAGTTAGAGCTTCCAAAAAAAAGGTAACTGTCACTGTAACTTCGTCACAAGTAACGAGTTACTTCCCAACCCTGCATTCTCACAAAAGGGCGCATCTTACCGACGATTCCACCACAGAACAAGGAGTTTGAGAAAAGAGAGGCTGTACGCCAGTGTAAGGCTAAGAGAGTCCATGAGGAGCCAAAGATCGTTCGAGTCGAAATGTGCGAATATGTACGAGTATTGATAATATTGCGCTATCACTATGCTTGTCATGCAGCTGAACCAATAGAGATTTGGGTGAGCCGAGTCCGGCCACATGCCGACGAAACGAAGACCGACTTCGACCGAGAGACTAATAGTAGTTGCGCGTTTCATTGCTTTTTCAGAACTACTCGTACTGCGAAAACAGATACCACGTCGGCGTGTATAAAACACACGCAGACGTTGTATGCGTCACGTGATGACGGCAAAAGTATAATAGGTACTGAATAACCATAGCAAAGACGGTAAAGCACAGGGCAGTAACGATCAATTGTAATTGCACCTCATCGCAAATTCTTGGAAGTTTACGGGTATTAAAAGCAAACACTCTATGATAACAACCGCTCCCCTTCTGGGACAGTGAACAATTTCGTAATTAGTATTATAACACATAATTGCTTGGAAAATGAAGGTTTAATTCGATTAAATGTCTGTTTCGGCTTAAATGTCAATTTCCAAAAAAAATACTATTATACGTAAGCAAAAAGAAAAGTGAGGAGAAATTATAATAATGTGATATCTGATATCTGAGATGCGACTAATCATGCTATTACTTTTTGCCCCTTGCTTATGTATGTACTCGCTTATGTTTTGTTCTATTTTTCTGCGTTTTCTTTCGCAACCAAAGAAACTTTCAGAGCAGTAGACGAGAAAAATGAAATTGTATGCGACGTAGAAACATAAATAATTATCTCAATGACATAAATTATATTAAGTTATAAATATATTTATTAAAAAAGCAAGAAGTGAAGACATCACAGATTAGGTAATAGAAACAGAATCTTATTTTCAAGTAAACCTGTTTACAGATATATTCAATATTCAAGATATATGCATATTCAGATAGTCAATAAAGCTTATCTTTGTTTGCATGCGTTTTCTTCTTTTAATATGTAATAATTTTGTATAAAATTGTAGATATAAAATCCTATTGATATGAAGTAATTGTTGTTAATAAAATATAAATCATTCAGTAAATTAAAAATATTTATACTAATATGTTTTTATATGTTCATAAATTGTGCAACTTCAGTAAATCAACGATGACAACGAACTATTGATTAAACTATTTAGGTTGAGAAATTCTAATGGTCTAAAGTTTTTCTAATTTTAGTACATCGCGTTTAATACTGATATATAGGAAACCGAAGCCTTCATAATCTAAAAGAGAATTATCCTCGTTTAATGGCATGTACTATAAATAAGAATGTATTCATAACATAACATCTTACACTTGTAAATCCCTCTAAAGTCAAATCCATGACTCTTCCGGCGGTAATTGTCAAACGCTTTTGGCATCTTAACATCATAAATAATATAATTCGACTGTCGCTTGGCGGCAGATTGTACCAAAGTGACTCGTATATTGCATCGCCAATCGACTTACTCTGGAAACAGAATGAACCGTTTGATGCGTACAAAGTAACGGTACATTAGAAAACGTTCTTTTATTGTTGATGAATTTTAACACGTCAACATATTTTAATAATGAAAGCTATTTCAAAACGTATATGACATTTAACCAACGATTGATACGACATAAACGCAAGGAAACGTACTCGTGTACATGCATGCCTCAAGAAGGAATCTCACGCTAATTTACATACCTTGGCACTCAAAAATTCTCCTGCGAAACAATATATAAAGACCTCCAGAATTATTGCCATATAATAGCTCACGGATTTGATCAAATTCGCTGTATCTTCCCCAGAACTAATGATCTAAGAAGACAAGAATATAAAGTTGTTATCTAAAATATAAGGAACAACCGACGTTACTCACAATTATAATCACAAAACCAGTGCAACACATAACTAATGTATTCCACAGAACTTGCATCAGCGCGATATGAGTATACAGGTTCTCGATATTTTCCGATAAAGTAATAATCTTTTGGTGCTTGCAAATGAGACCTTTGATAACAAGTAGGAATGTGCTACGATCGTATTTCCCGTTAGAAATTTCAACCAAATTTTGCTGCATAATGTCAATCTGACCGCTCACATGAAGTACCTGTAAACATCAGACAACTTATATATATATATATATATATATATATATATATATATATTTGAGGAAATACCTTGTCTTGTATTATCGGAATCGAGAAATAGAATATTAATCATTCAAACCTTTTAATCCCTTTCAATCTCGTATACGTACCAATGCAACGAGTAACGCGTTTATCAAGCCGACCACAAAAGCTATTACCATATCGTAAAGAAATTGTCCGATTAAAAAACACTCAAAAATCGGCGATTCGCTAACGTCGAAAGGGAATTCCATTTTTATGGGAAGTTCTCGAGAACTATTGCCGAACTGATCAACATCGTCCATCGATTGAATTAAATGCTCGCCAATCGACAGAAAGAAAGCAGAGAAGGCATAGAGACTAAACATTACATTAGCAAAGCGGCTCGACGTGTCCGCCATGCTCGTCATCGTGGACCTATATGAAACATTATTTACGCACTCACTCCAGTCTTGATCAATCGCCTTCACAATGTAATAGAATATCCTGCAGGACATTTCTTCATGTGTAACGAGTCACGAAACGTCTATATAGCTTTATTAGGTGCAACGGTATATCTTGACGCACACATTAGCCTCGTCGAGATTATGTAACGTTACCATAATTATATTAGAATTAGATATAGATATATTCTATATCATTCTCGTAGAGAAACACATCTTACCGACGGTTCCACCACAGAACAAGGAGTTTGAGAAAAGCGAGGCTGTACGCCAGGGTAAGACTAAGACAGTCCATGAGGAGCCAAAGATCGTTCAAGTCAAAATGTGCGAATATGTACGCATATTGATAATATTGCACTATTACTACTGTTGTCATGTAGCTAAACCAATAAAGATTCGGATACGCCGAGCCCGGCCACATGCCGATGAAACGGAGGCCAATCTCGACCGTACGGCTGATGGTGTTTGTACGCGTCATCGTTATTTCTTAACTGCAAAATATTAAAAATCGAAGACTACGAGGTCGATACACAAAAAGCACGTCGGTACATCAAAGTACGTGTATGTCGTTCAATATGTTCCACGTGATGGTTAAAACACTAAATAATCGTAGCGGTAAAACCATAAAACTGCTCTGAACATAAATCAATCGCAATTATCTCGAGCGTTCTTATCGTATTAGGTAATGCACGCTTATAGTTGTACCGATTAGAAAAGATATACGATTATGTCCGCTTCTCCGCTGAATTAATAAATGCTTTGGTTTTACAGAATAACAGGTAATCGCTTTCGAACTGTGCATTTCTGTTCCAAGGGGCAATTTTATCTATATCCATCGGAAAAAAAGTACGCGCAGAGTCGTGGCAAAAACGTTTGAACACCACAAAAAAATTGAAAAAAGAAGTTCATTATAATTATTAAATATGGTCGTAGTATATCGATCCCGTAACAGAGTACGTGTAAAAGTCGTCAATTTTTGCTCCCAACTGGCAAGTGAAATTTGCATGTTTTTTTATATGATGAAGTGATATATACAGTTTTTAAGCTGCAGAACCACGTGCGATCAGTTTTCCAGAAACACGAAGGAAACGTATGTGAAAATGTGAAAGGAGTGAATAAACAGACACGGATGTGCCAGAAGAATGAGATACACAGTTTCTTTTGCGAAACGTTCTATCCGTCCGAAAACCATCTGTATGACATTTTGTTGTAATAGAGTTGAAACAGAGGAGAAACAAACCTATGGAAAATTGGCCCATTACCGGACCAAATGACGTGCAAAATCCGATCGCGCAACCTGGCAGTGCACATTGAGTAACGCTGACGCCGAAGGTATGAATGGAATTGACATCAAGGTCGATTATTATGTCATTAAATTGACAATTAAATTGTCGTTAAGAGTCTCGAGGTAATGAAATGGTCTTTAAGAGTTATTTAAGAGTTATTTAAGAGTTACTAAAAGTTAAGAGGGCGGAAAGATGACAGGCGAGGCGCGTGTCTCTGACTCTCGTCTTACATCCCTCGAGTTTTCGTAGGTTTATTTCCTTTTACATTCGAACTCTGTCACAACAAAATGACATATGTTTCGTGATTTTCAAGAATTAGAACGTTCCCAGTGAGAAATAATTCGTCGGAACAATGTCGAATCGACATCGATTTGACTGTGCCGATTCGATATCGTTTCGACATTGATTGACGAGTCATTTCTCGCTGGGTTCCGTAAAAGAAATGATTTATCTCAATCTTAAAGCACATCGTGTCTATTTATTCACATTTTTACATATGTTCCCTTCGTGCTTATGGAAAATGATTGCACTACGTGATTCTGCGGTTTGAAAACTATAAAAAACATGCAAATTTTACTTGTCAACTGGAGGCAAAAATTGACAACTTTTACACGTCCCCCTTTCCTTCGGTTTTTCCTCATGTATCCTTCAAGCAAAAACAAAAGCCTCTAAGGTTACTACGGTTAAGAAGATAATGGATTTCGCTCATGTCTTTTTCTATATCAGTGGTGTGAAAATATACGTATTTATAGCATATAAGCTGTACATGCATATTGTTGCTAATTTTCACACAGATATTGAGTCATTGCGAACGGAAAAGAATCGGTATAAAAATCTTTCAATAGTTCACGAGATAGACGACAGGCGAAAAGTACGTGCTTTTTCCAATTTGTTAAAGTATTAAAAGCGAACAATAGTAAGTAATTCTGTTCATATATGCAACACTATTGTAATGTGGTGTTGTAATGTACAGGCATATAGAATTTTGTGTTTCCGGGAACATGATTAGATATAAGGAAGATAAGTGAAAGTTATACAATAATACAATTTATATTATTCGAATAATAATTACATGTTTATATTAATAAAGAAAGGAAGATATGTAAATGAAGAATTTAGTGAGTGCAACGGCTGCAATTTGGAGCAAAATATTACAAACGTGGACAAATCTTTGACGTTATTTTGAAGTGTGTTCTCATACACCTTTCTTTTAAATCTGCAATTTTTATTGGCAATATATTAGAAATTATATAGAAAATTGAAGTTCCATAGAAAAATGTAAAATAGATTAGTTACCATACAGAAATAATTATCTGCCGAATTCACATAGAGATTAATTTATATTGAAGTAATTTGATGCCCTCTTTTGTATTAACTTGTGTTTCATCGGGACAAGAGTAACGATTGTCTGATAAAATTATTGTGGCTAAGACAGCAATGAATACGCACATATAGTAGTTAACAAACGTCATTCTGGACTTAATACATCGCATTTAATACAGATACATAAGAAGCTGATGCCTTCATAATCTGAAAAATTGCACAAACTAAGAAATACATAACCCAGTATGTCGGAAAACGCATTTTTCAATGTAATGTCTTACGCTTGTAAATCCTTCCAATGTCAAATCGACGACTTTTCCTGCAGTAATCGTCAATCGTTTCTGCGATCTTAGTATTACAAACATTAAAATGCGACTGTTCGTCGGTGGCATATTATACCAAAGGGACTCATATATCGCATCGCTAATTGACCTACTCTAAAACAGGATAAATTCAAATTCGAGACATAATCGATAAACGACGAGCAAACTCAGAAGCATTTTTAATACGTCAAGATAACATTTTTTAAATGAGAATCAAGTTTTTTTTCTTCTTCTTTACAAACCTTGGCGCTCAAAAATTCTCCGGCAAAGCAGAGTATGAAAACTTCCAGAGTGATGGCTAAATAAAAACTCACAGATTTGATCGAAGTCGTCCCACTGTCGTTGGTACCAAGAGTCTGCAATGCAGCAACGATGAAGAAATATTCTTCATCAAAGACGCGGAGCAATAGCCACAGCTATTACTTACAATTATAATGACAAAACCAGTACAGCAGATGACCAACGTATTCCACAAAAGTTGCATCAGTGCAATATATGTATACAGATTTTCAATGTTTTCTGATAAAATAATAATCTTCTGATGCTTGCAAATGAGGCTTTTGATAACAACTAAAGATGTGCTGGGGTCGTTTTTACTGTTGGAAATTTCATCTATGTCTTGTCGCATAATGTCAATCTGACCGCTTACGTGAAGTATCTATAAATATTGGATAAATAGGGCATTAAAGTGCAGTGTATCTTATCATCAATTAGATCAATATTATTAATTAGATTAATTAGCTCAGTGTTATCGAACCACACGCAGGACGCTATTACAGCGTAAGCAATAGAAAAGACAAATGATTAATTATTATAAGGTTTACATGGAAATATCTTTGCAGAGTCATCGCAAACTCACCAATGACACGAGCAACGCGTTCATCATACCAACTATAGAAGCCAGCACCAATTCGTAAAAGAACTGCCCGATCAGAAAGCATTCGAAAGTCGGAGATTCGCTGACGTCGAAAGGAAACTCCATCTTTATAGGAAGTTCTCGAGAATAATTGTCAACTTTAGCGGCGTTGCCCATCGACTGAAGCAAGTGCTCGCCGATTGATAGAAAAAACGCAGCTAAAGCGTTGATACTGATCATCACGTTGGTGCAACGACGTGACAGATCCGCCACGCTCATCATCGTGGACTGATACGAATCATTGATAACGCACTCTTTCCAATCCCGATCCATAGTTTTTACAATGTAATAAAATGTCCTGCAGGAAGCAGCTTATATATCGAGTATTGCGCATATTAATGAATTTCTTCACGGAAAAAAAGACAGAAAGGGACATTTAAATAATTTATTTTACTCAGAATCCGATCTCCGGTGGTTTCGTTGAAATTATTCAATGATAACGCAGCTCTATCGTCCCGATCGCAATTTTTTTTCAGATACGTCTGCAACAAAATACGTCTTACCGGCGGTTCCACCATAAGGCAAAGAGCTTGAAAAAGGCGAGAGTGTACGCCAGGGTAAGACCGAGACAGTCCATGAGGAGCGGGATATCGCTCAGGTCAAAATGCGCGAGAACGTACGCGTACTGATAATACTGCACTATCACCATCGTCGCCATGTAAATTAACCAATAAAGAGTCGCGTAAGCGGAATCCGGCCACATGCCGATGAAACGAAGGCCGATTTCGACCGGGCGGCTGATGGTGCTTGGCCGCTTCATTTAGTTTTGCAACAATCACCAAACGTTATCACAAACCGATAGCCGTCGAGATGTCGGTGTACCGTGGCACACGTAAATTTCGTCCAGTAAAACGCGCAACGTGACACGTCGCTCTCCGAATAATCGTGGGGAGAGACGATAAAGCGCAGGTCCTCCCTCGATCAATCGTAATTATACGCCGACTATTCCGATCCCATTATTTCTTGAGAGCTTATAAGTACACCGAATAAAAAACCAAATGTATCTGCTATCTTCTCTGAAATGGTTCATGTAATATTACTTGATAATTGCTTGGGGGAAAAAAAATGAAAAGTTCTAAATGCGAAGAGAATCATTTCTACGATTGTCTCTATATCCAATAGAAAAACTGTGCACATTTTTTTTAAAAAAAGATGTTACTATCTAGAAAGTGAAGGTAACATGAAAGAGAAAAGTGAGTGAGCGTTCGGTGCTCAATGGGCGGGTGAAAATGCATGGATTATTCGCAATGGTAATATTTTGTAAGTAAGCAGTAATATCGTTGCACACATAAGTAAAACGTTAAATCGTATTATTCAAAAATTAGATCTCCGCAGAGTACATGATAAGATACAAAATGTCTTTTTGCGAAATTTCTTTGCACTAATATTTGTATACGTATCAACATTCCGTTCAACGGAATCGAACATTTGGCTAAAACTATCTCTGTCATAACGCATAGAAGTCGCGGCGTCCGTTTCTTTAGGAAATATCCGTTTGTTGTTGCCCTACAGACAAATTCAATTTAGCATTTTATTCTGGAAGAATAAATATTCTTACCTTTGTACTCGAGTGCAACTTTTCATTCCTTTTCAATACAACGCACTCAAAACGGATACGTACGACGCGGACGATTTCATAATCTGGAGCAATTAAGCATATATTAAAATTTGTATTTCAGCCGCAATTTGAGCGACAAAAATTCCGGATGGTTCGAGCAAACTCACGGTCGTGAAACCTTCCAAGGACAGATCAGTTATCTTGCCCGCAGTGATGGTTAAACGTTTCTGCGATCTCAGCATGAGGAACATCAGGACCCGACACTCGCTGGGTGTCAGATCGTACCAGATACACTCGTACGCAGCATCGCTGATGGATTTACTCTGCAATGGCAAACGAGCTTTCGCGATTAATTGCGTCTAATTGAGCACCTTGCGAAAGTGAATGCAGAATTTGAAGAAATCTACGACGCTACCATTACGCTCCCTCACGCTGACCTTAGCGCTGAGGTATTCTCCGGCGTAGCAAAAGACGAACGCCTCGAGAGTTATCGCGACATAAAAGATGAGGGATTTAGTTATCATTGTAGCACCTTCTTCCGTGCCGATAGACTGCAATGCATAATAGGTAAGGTATAATTTACCGGTTTACGCGTCCTCGCTGCGCGTGAATTTGTCTTGAGATACTTGAAAATATAAATTTGTGTATTTTATCAGAAATAAATCCTACATTAAATGTAATATGTATACAGAAAGTGAAGGAGAGAGAGAGAGAAATTTATATACAAAAATATGTAAAATTATAACTCACTATTACGATTACAAAACCTATACAACAGATGACCAAAGTATTCCAGATGAACTGCATCAGTGCAATGTTTGAGAAAAGATCCTCAATGTGGTCTGATAAATCGATGATTCTCTGATGTCTGTTAATTAAATCTTTAATAACAGCCAGAGAAGATTTTGATGTACTCTTCTTAGAGGATATTTCCATGAAGCCTTGCCGCATAATATCAATCTGACCACTTACATGAAGTACCTAAAAAACATCTTCAGCTTTACAGATACTTTAGTGCAGTATCGCTACTTTCGCGAAAAATCTGAAAAATTATATACAAAATTGTATTTAAAAATAAGATGTCGTAGTGTACTCGTTGAGACACTAGATTCCGATTGTCATTAAAAGGATCAAAAAGTCTACCGTAGAGCTGCAATATACATATTATAAAAATAAAAGTATGAACTCTCATAGGTGTTACAAATATTATAGTAAAATAGTAAACCTAATTTCCCGTTTGAACGAGTTTTTGTTCGTTCGAGTTTTCATTTCAACGCAGCAAAGAACTAAATAAAACGTAAGAGAGCAATGCTATATAGTGTTACGCCCGCGCTAAGAAGTGATGACTGCGTAAAGAAATGTTGCTCTAATGTGCCGAAAATCCAAATTCAAATCCAACCAAAACATCATTGCTTTTTATTTGATCGTCACCTCTCGAAAGAAAGTGCCAATCCGTCGAGAGTTTCTTGCCGTAAACATCTCCTATAGAGCCGTTCGGAATCAACGTTAAACTATAGGTCTCATATATCTGACGCAAGGAGAGGTCACAATGCTCAAATCGAGCATGACGCAATTGGCTAAATTCTATTCGCCTTAAAAGTTTTAAAACTCTACGATTTTTGAAAATTCTAGACGGCCACTCTCTAAAAGTCAATCAATGGATTTTCATTAAAAGTAGTCAAGAGTCACTGATTTACAGTTATAAGTTTACCACTGCGATTTTCAGAGATACACTTATAACAGCAAATTAGTGACTATTCACTGTTTCCAATGATAATCTGATTGACTTTTAGGGAGCAGAGTCCTGTACATGAACTCTAGCCGAAACTGGAGACCCTATTCTCCTACTAACAATAAGAGTGACAATATTTAATATTATATGTACACTGAGAAAAAAGTCTTTGAAAATTTTAGTGAAATAAACATTACGTGCCACAAATAAATTTTCACAGACCCTTTTCTCAGAGTATACATCCGCGCTAAGACAGTATTGAGGTTCGAGCTGAATCAAACTGCCTTTCAACATGAAAATGCGCGACGTCTCTTTGACGACAGGCGTCTGTTGCCGAACAAATTTTTAACGATTCAGAGTTTGGCTTTCAAGCTGTACAAACGTATTCGCACGATTCGCACGAGGAATAACAGTTCTTTTCCGCGAGCCAGATATTTTTATTTCTGCGAGTCTGAGTGTGCCCGAGTGCGTGCCATGGAGAGTGAGTGAAACGCGAATGGACCAGCGGGCGCAACATTATCGTATCATATGTATACGTAGATAAATTATATATATATGTTAATATTCTTTTATAACTAGATGCTAGAAAATTGTGACAAAAGCAATTGTTCATGTCTTCTCTCTAAAAGTCAATCAGTGATTATTCACTGTTTTCAGTGATAATTCACTAATTGATTTTTAGAGAGTTCTACGAATTCAACGAGATTAATTTTCATAATCTTCCAACTGATTAGATCACGAGTGCGAATAGAGTAAAATCTTACCAGCGTAACGAGCAAAGCGTTCAGCATAGCGATGATACAAGCTACCGATAAATCATGAAAAAATTGGGCTATCAATACCAGCTCAAAAATCGGGGAATTGTCGACCCTAAAAGGAAATTCCATCTTGATGGGCAGCTCGCGAGCTGAGCCCTCGCGATCGTTCCTTTGTATTATCGATCGGAGTATTGGGCCGCCGATCACGTAAAAGAACACGGCTAATGCATTCGTCGTGATCATCACGTTAGAACATTGACGAGACAAGTTGGCGTGTCTGACCATCGTGGATGCGTCCGAATGGACAGCAATCCCGTCGCTCCAATCTTTGTCCATCGTATCCAGAATGACGTACAACTTTCTACGGGGCATTTCTTACATCTAGTATCGTTCGCGCGGGACAGAAATGGAATTGAAACCGAACGAAGAGCACGATCGATCGCACGCCTCGCCTGCACAGAAACCATTAAGCACAGTCTTACCGACGATTGAACCAGAGATTGATCAGCTTGAGGAACGACAGGCTGTAGCCCAATGTGATACTTAAGCCGTCTACGAAAACCGAGAGATCCCTGATGTCGAAGTGCGCCAGGATATACGAATATTGAAAGTATTGCACTATTGCCACCGACACGATGTAAGTCCACCAATTGATATTCGCGTATACGCAATGCGGCCACATTCCGATGAAACGTAGGCCCGCCTCGACTGACTCGCTGATGGTGCTCGCGCGTCCTATCGTGCCTTTGCCCAACTCCAACATGTTTCTCTTAAGAGAGACTATCACCTCCGAGCTGTGTAAATCTCTCCTCGGCATAATAACATCGAATATAGCAAAAAGTCGAGACGGTGGAAAGGGGGAGATAAGACACGACATTAAACTGTCGATCAATCGTAATTACCCGTACTTCGCAGAAATGGTTGAATGAATTCGAAATTGGATGCTCGCCAATTTGCTGGATTATAGACTTGGAAGGAAAATGTCGCATGCAGAAAAAAAACGATTCGTCTCGGTCTTTTTTCTCTCCAACTTAAAAACGCCGAGTTTTCCGAGTCGCTAGTTTGCCGAGTCATTTACTTTAAAGATGCATAAAGCTTTCTGAAGATCGCTCGGCGCTCGCTAAGAGAGCAACGAATTAAATATACTGATTGTGAAACGTAAAACGAGCATCGACGTAGAGACAAATAAAAATGTAATGTAAGTTGAGCGACATGTCGTACGGTCGTATACACGTTTCTTCCTATATTAACGATTATTTAAACATATATATAATAAAAATAATGTGTTAATATCAAGAAAATTTTGAATTACTTTTTGCAAATCGAGATGTAAAAGAAAGTATATGTATATACATTTAAATATGCAAGTAGCGATCATGAAAATCTAAATACTTTATTATAAACTGCGGAAGGTAAATTGGTACATTATGTCTACACATAGTTTGCACAATTATTATCGGCTCATCACAGATATCGAGAAGAACCGATAAAAAAACTCCTAACATCTTTAGCAGCCACGTAATGGCCATCTACCACACGATGGCTCGTCTTCAAACTTCAATACATTGCGTGCAATACCGACACGTATGAAACAGAGGCCTTTAAAATCTAGAAAAATTATATCAAATAATAATACGATAAATGAAATGCAAAAGAATAAATTTATAAGTGAATAACTGTGTAAATATAAATCAAATGTTTTTATAAAAATATCTGAATTAAAAGATCGTTTTATAAAATCACATTGTGATTAAAGTAAATGACGATTATTCATCAATAATGTCAGTGTTGATCCATCAAGACAAGAATTTTATTAACAGAGAATCCAGTGTTGAAATCTTACGCTCGTGAATCCCTCTAACGACAGATCCATCATCTTTCCTGCCGTAATAGTAAGCCTTCTTTGCGATCTCAATATAATAAGCAGGACGAACTTGCTCTCATTAGGTTGAAAGTCGTACCAGATTGATTTGTACGCCGCATCGCCGATCATTTTGCTCTAAAGAAGAATGTCGCAGAAATGTCGTGTTGTCAGTGAGATAAATAACTAAATCGACATAAAATCTTTATTCTTACTACTAAAGGAAATGACAGTTCAGACTAGGCTCCTTACACGGAAGTAAACAATTACTTGAATTGTCACAAAAATGCATTCTCAGTACGTATTTACAGTACATAATTACGATATTGTAGCACTAATATTAATTTAAAATATTTAAACTATGATATATATGGCGTTATATTGAAAAATAATTATTATACTAAAAAATGATTATTTGATACATAAAAACAGAATTTCTCCCTTAAAGAAACTCGTATGTGACAAAATTATATATCGTACACCCTCGTATAACTATTGTCGGCATGTTACAATACATTTATATTAAAAAGAAAACTCGATCTTTGCGCATTGAAAAGAAAGGGAAAAAGAAGACTTAACTGTTTGTTTCAATAATTGTGCGTTTTTCGTGAAAATGCATTTGAATTATTTAAAATCAAAGCACACAATGTACGACCAAATCGCGTAAATTGACGTCCCTACAATGCAAAACGAGAGTAAAAATCTCCATTGGTTCCGACCTTGGCACTGAGGTATTCTCCGCAAAAGCAGAAGATAAACGCCTCCACTGCAGCGGCCATGTAAAACACTATAGCTTTTATTAACGCCGCGCTATCGATTGTATCCGAGTCTTGCATTGTGCTGATCGACTGCAATATCGAATCGCAATATACAATAAATCGCTACTGCTGCAAGGTACCAAATCGTTTCTTCGCACTCTTTATTTTTGGCAACTTACCGTTATGACCGTAAATCCTACGCAACAGGTCAATAATGTGCTTGCCAAGAATTGGATTAGCGCTACATAAGAGAAGATTCTTTCGATTTTATTCGAAAAGATGATGATCTTCTGATGCTTGCCGATCAGTTCCTTCATAGAGAAACCTAGCGGTCGATTGTTCTTGTCAGAACAAATGTTCCTCAATGCATCACACAAAATCTCTATTTGACCACTCGTGTGAAGAATCTGAAAGCATACATTCTCTAAAACTACGTGACATAAATGGAAAAATATTTCACACTATCAAAGTTACCAGGTGCTAATTATGTGATACAAAATAATTACATACAAAATAAATTATGTATATTATTATGCAGGTCAATGTGTAACATGCAACAAATAATTTACGAGTATGAAAGTAAAAAAATTTATATAGTGACGTTCAATTTCAATTTATTTTTCAATATTCCGGTCCTCTTTGTCAAGATGCACCTAACTATTAAAAACACAAAAAGCTATAGATTATAAAATTAATATGTGTGCTGTAGCCCACAAAGAATATTAGCCCAGTTAACAACATATATTACATATATCACATTTGTATTGTTGAAAGTGTGAAAGTGTGAAATTATAACATCATTGTAATGTCACTGACGCTCTATGCCAATTAGGAAATTTCTTTCTTCACATTAAGATTCTGAAGATACATATTTCCATATACATCCAGAAAAAAGATTTATTTAGGTTAAACAAATGAGATATGTTGAAATAATGTTTCTTTGAATCTAAATTTTTATTTATTTTAACTAAAACATTTGCTATATTTGAAGAAATAGATATGAATTTTCTAAAAAATTTCAGTCTTAATCAAATAAAATTTTGGTCACGGTGAAGAAATTATTTCTTTGAGATTAAATAAAAGTCTAGTAAGGTCAAAATTTAAAGAAAATTTGTTTGATTTCAATGAAACTTTTTTTCTAGGTGTATTATAACATATAACAAAATCTAAAAAAATAAGAGGAAATTTTTTCGCTAGAATAACAAAAGTGTCAGCGTTGCGTGATAATCGAGTATTTTGAATATTAACACCTTCAGCAGTACACATTTTGCCAACAGATAAAGATACAGTGCTATAAAAGACAGTAACTGTCATCGTGCGTTATCACCTAGTAGGTGCAACTTAAAGATATTTAGGTCCGGTTTTTCATTTTCTGGTTAACCAGAGGTTAGCCGACTCTCTATAAAAAAGAAAAAAATGGAGAGAGTCAACTAACATCTGGTTAACTAGAAAATGAAAAACCGAATTTTAAAGAAAATTCTCCTTTTGCAGATTGCACTCACTAACGTAATGAGCAGAGAGTTAAGTATGCCGGTTACAGTGGAAGATACCAGTTGATGAAAGAACTCCAGACACATAACGATCTCGTACAGCGGCGACTCGTTACACTGCGTCGGGAGCTGTAGCTTCAGCGTGAACGCGCGAACGGGCGTCTCGATTCCATCGGCATCGTAATGAGTATGGGATGCAAGTACCTCAATACCGAAGCAACATACCGCTGCTGAATGAATCCCGATGATCACGTTGGAGAAGCGTCGCGACAGATTTTCCTTGCTTGTCATGATGTGTACTTCGTTGTTGGCGGCTTCCTTCCAGTCCGCAGCCATTGCAGCTAGGACGTCGTAAAATATACTGCGGCAGTTTACTCTATCTTGGTGTATGGATAAACAAATTCACACTAAGATGGGAACGCAATAAGATGGATGGATTTGGGGAAGGAAGGAGACCGGATCTTTCAATATACATTTAAATATAGTGACATACGTAAATTTAGCTAAAATATAGTGATACCCACACAGCAAAATATATCTGAGACTTAAATCAGATGTCGTTTCACCGGTCATATTTGAGATATTTCGTAGATGATATATTTTTAAGAATACATGAATACTAAACAAACTGTTTCTGATATTCTGATATAAAATTATTGTTTATACTTATATTTTTATTTGTTTTGTTTGAAAATAATTGTTTATAATTTAACTTTTCACAAAGTAAGTTTTCTAAACTTATCTAATAAAACAAAATAGCACGATAAAACAATGAAAAAAGATAAATATGAGTTTACAATAATAGCATAAAAAGGTAAAGGTTAATTTATGGAGACGGTATTCTTTACTAATTTATACCGGAACTGATAAAGAAAAAATATTTTTTATTTATCACATTGCCTATTCTGTAATACGTAAAATCCGATTTTACTAAAAAATAAATATATAATATTTTATATCAAATCAGATATCATATCTCAGATGAAATAATTATGACTTTTTAAAATCTGGAAGATATCTCTCAGATATTCAAGCGATATTTGAGTAGTTTTTTGTATCAGATATTGTAATGTTTAGATATATCCCAGATATCTTTGTGACATTTTTTACAGTGTGGGTAAACATAGCTTCATCTCTCGACAGTACCTAAATAGTATCGCAATAAGATTGTGATATTTGTATCATCTAAGCTGAATTATGAATGTATTCATAATGATTTTCGGCAAGAGTTATGTTTGATATAGATTCTGTATTACTTGATAAGAACCTGGAATTAGGTCGAAAGTTGTATTGTAAATTGTAAAACCACCTAAATTTTGGCAGTTTGGCAGAAAACTTTGGCCGACTATAAATTTTGCATTTTGGTTTGATTTTATCACTGATGACAACAAAAATACTTAAGCACGCTGAATTATAAAATTAAAGACAAAGAGAGAGAGAGAGAGAGAGAGAGAGAGAGAGAGAGAGAGAGAGAGAGAGACCAGTGCATCTTCTTTCTTATATATTTTAAATAAATAAATTGAGACCTTTATTGAAGAATATGCAAAGGAAGACCTTTATGTATGTCTTTATTTAAGTAAAAAAAAACTTAAGTAAAATGTAAGGTCTTTACTTAAGTAAAAAAAATATTACTGTAAGAATCACGACTTTCAGGAACAACTTATATAAATGAACTCAGTTTCCACCTTCAACTCTAGAGTGAGAAATATTCTCTTACCGACTATTCAACCATAAAATAATCAGTTTGAAGGACATCACGGTGTATTCTATGGTGACACTTAAACCGTCCATCAGGTACGACATGTCGTCGGTTCTGAAGTGGATAATGATCCACCAGTATTGATAAATCTGCACTATGGCGATGGTCAGTATCCAAAGGCCTCGAAACAACAGCGCGCACGGCGTATCAGGCCAGAATCCGATAATACGAAGACCGATTTGCACCGAGAGAGAAATAGTGCCTGGAGCCGTCATTCTGTCGCGTCGTGACATCTTACAATTTTGCACTAATACTAGGGTATGAATTTGTATCCACTGTTACGTAAAATTTGACCAGGATTTCGACATCTACGTTATCGGAAATGTAACGCGGAGTACTTGTCGAAACAGCCAACGTCGTAAAGTCACGGATTAATACCAATAGGCTGCGTATGGTTTTAAAGCGACTCTAGAGCGGCAAGTTGATCACGCGAGGGTCGCTAACTAAACGCAGCCGTAGCGAGGTAATCACCGATCAATTGCAACCAACTGAAAACAAAAGTTACGGTGGTTTGCATGAAACAGAGGGGATTAAAATTGCAACAATCGAGAGATGATTGCACGACCGCCGTATAATGGTTGTCTTATTCTATGGTAAAAAATGTCGCAGATGGGACAAATTAGTGGCTTGAAAAATGCAAGAGACGGCTTTTCTACCTGCGCAGAAGCAAGCGCGGTTCCATAATAATGGTTCGTTCGAAAAGGACATTAAATACTAAAAGACATAAAATGGACATCGAGGTAAAAATGAATAAAAATGTAACGGGTGATGTGCTGTACGGTCGTATTTCTGCAGACGCGTTTGTTTCCGTGTTAAAGATCATTTTTTTAATATATTGAAGTGAAAAATGTGCCCGCCCGATTTTTTATTAACAGTCATTTGGCATGAAAAAGTCTTTATTTAACCGACCAAACAATTTCTATCATTCCTATAGTCTTTTTCCAACGTTCATATGGATGCCACAAACATAAATCATGCACGGTTTCTTGTTAAAGAATTTCGAATATAACTTTTTTAAGAGCTCAAAAGATGTGAAGTTTCTTTTCTGTTCAAAGTGTTCTGCAACGATTAGAACTAGTGACAGTTTTCTGACAGTGCGATATCAGGAGGATACAATAGAAGATCCCAATTCAACTCTCTAAGCTTGCGTTGGATCTGCGTCAAAGTGCGAGATCTGAAGTTATCGCGATGATGAACGATAGCCTTTTAACCAACACCGAGTGCTCCTCTTGGATTGTTTCTTTCAAATTATCTAACTGTTAACAGTACTTGTCGGAATTAGTCGGTTCGCCAACAGAGCGAAAAAAGGATTACTCCCTTACAATCCCATCAAAGAGATAGCATCATCTTCTGACGGGGTAAAAGCTTTAGTGGGAATTCATTTTCTTTTTCTTTCAAGTCTGTTTGAAATGAACTGAATTATTTTATCTATAAGATCCCGTTTTTCATAGTCAATCGATCCAAAAATAAAACTTTAGCAAGTCGCTTCAGCAAGAAATTGGCCGCAAGGATTTCGATCCACTTTAATCAGAATGCGGCATCCAAACATCAAGTTTTAAATTTTACTCCAATCTCCTTTAAATGTCAAAATGCGGCCAATGATGTTTAGCTTCTTAGCAATTTCTTCTGTTAAAGTTTATGAACTAGTCTGTTAAATTGCAAACAATAGCATTATTAATGAAAACCAAATTATAACCGTTCTTCAAATTGAAATTATCAACATTTTATATTGAAATTTTAATCAAACAAACGAGAGCGCCTCTGGGTCCGAGCAAGATGTTGGTGGCCCAATTCTCGCAATTCAAATGCAATCAGAAGAAATCAATTCCATTTCAAATAACAATAATAAGAGTGTCACTTTTTAAATAATATATAATATTGTGTAATAGTATATAATTTGGTTGTAAACATTGTTATGAACAGTGTAGCCACTATGCAATCTTGATACCAAATATTGATTAAACGTATAAACGATTAAATTATTCTGTTTATATCAAGATATAGAAGAAAATATATAGGTTTAAATATGCAAGTAGCAATGTTGAAAACCTAAACATTTTATTATCAATTGCGGAAAGTAAGTGGTACATCACGTATTATCTACATTTAATCTGCATAATTATTGTCGGTTCATCATAGATACTGACAAGAAAGTAAAGAATTTCTAATATCTTTAGCTGCACGTGGGCATCTAAACACGGGTTCGATGACTCGTCTTCGAACTTCAATACATCGCATGTAATATTGATATGTACGAAACAGAGGCCTTTATAATCTAGAAAAATTATAATAAATAATAATACAATAAAAATACAAGTAACCAAGTAAATCAATAAATAAGCTGTTTAAATGTCAATAAAATAATTTTATGCTAGTATATTTTAATAAATCACTTTAAGAGATCGTCTTATAAAATGACTATCACAATGACTATAGTAATCGTAAAGTAATAGTGTAAATCGTGATTATTCGGAATGATATCAATGTTGATAAAAATGAGGATTTGTTTAACAGAAAATTCAGTGCTGGGATCTTACGCTCGTAAATCCTTCCAGCGACAGGTCCATAATCTTTCCGGCCGTAATGGTGAGCCTCCTTTGTGATCTCAATATCATAAACAGAATGAGCTTGCACTCGTTGGGTTTGAAGTCGTACCAAATTGAATTGTACGCTGCATCACCGATCATTTTGCTCTGAAGAGTGTCGCAAAAAAATGTCGCGTTGTCAGTAAGAGAAATGACTGAACTTCGTTTATACTTCGTTTATACTAAAAAGAATGCAATAATTCAGGCGTAATATGACTATAACACGAGATATTTTAGTGCTTCAATTATTTCAAAAACGTATTTCAAGTAATTAGGGAATCATTGGCAATAATTAAAATAATTCTCATTTAAGCACTATATAAGAATCATTTAAATAATTAGTATTAATAAAGGAAAGTCTCTTATTATGAGATAGAATCTTTTAGTATCAAATAGTAGGTTTTCTGCTAGATTAATAGGCAACATCTATTGGGCTACCATGAATTTATTGTCCTTAAAGTAAAATTTGCTTAGTGGAAAATTCATTGTTAGATCGTGTAATCGTTGCGAAAAAAGATTTGCGATTGAATTTGGACGTTGAAAACCTGCTATCTCATATTAGAAGTCTATCTCATAATAGGTAACTTTTCTCTACATAAAAACTTCTTTTTTAAAGAAATAGTCTAATTATTGTGAGTATATTGCAACACATTCACATTAAAAGAAAATTTCATTTCTCGGTTAAACAGCTATGCATTCTCTATGATGAAATTGTCATTATTTAATAATCGTTAGACAACGTATGGCCAAATAAAAAATGTATGGCATAATAAAAAAATCGCATAAATTGTCGTCTTTACGCTACGAATCAAGCGTAAGAGTCGCAATGTACTTCCGACCTTGGCACTGAGGTACTCTCCGCAAAAGCAGAAGATAAACGCCTCCACCGTAGCGGCCATGTAAAACACAATAGCTTTCATTAATGCCGAGCTATCGATCGCATCTGAGCCTTGCATGTTGATCGACTGCAACATCGAGCTGCGATATAGATCGCTACCGCTGCAAAACGCAGAGGGTTTCTTTCTAATTTTGACGAACGATTACTTACTGTTACGATCATGAATCCCAAGCAGCAGATCACAAAAGTACTGGACAAAAATTGGATTAGGGCTATGTAACAAAAAATCTTTTCGATTTTGTCCGAAAAGACGATGATCTTTTGATGCTTGCCGATTAGTTCCTTCATAATGGAGACAGCGAGATGTTGATCGATCTTTTTGGGAGAAATATCCCTCAATGCATCACACAAGATATCTATCTGGCCACTCGTATGAAGAATCTAAAAGCACATATTCTATAAAATTACGTGATATAAATAGAAAGAGATCGAAAGAAATTTCACACAATCGAAAACAATAGTTCGCGAAGTGTATGCAAAAAATGTTTCATGACATTTAAAGACATTAAAGACTCTTAAAATAAGAAGAAAAATCATACAAACAAATGATCGACATTATCATATAAACAAATTTTAATTTACTTTAAAATTAGCTATTGTTTTTTTTTAGATGCGTCTAGGCAGAATACGAATAGTTATAGATTATAAAATTAATATATTTACAAGCTATAGATAATTCGCTAGCAATTATATTTTAAATATTGACAAAGAATATCAAGTTCCTTTCTTCGGATTCTGAAAATATTTTCTTGTGTTACAATATATAATTTATTGCGGTGAAAAAATAGGAGAAAATCCTTCTTTTTCATCGGTAAAGAGCAAAAATGTATCCGTGTCGTACAATAATCCGGTATCCATTGTCCTCTTCCACTTTTGATAGTAGAGGAAAATCCCCTATTATGAGATAGGATTCTAATATGGGATAGCGGGGTTTCTGTTAAATTAATAGGTGTCATCAGTTTATTCCATCATTGTCCTTAGAGCGAGACCTGTTTAGTCGAAAATTTATTGTTAGATTATGTAATGTTGCGAAAAAAGATTTGTGATTGAATTTGGGTGTTGAAAACCTGCTATCTCATATTAGAAACCTACCCCATAATGGAAGATTTTCCTCTATATATGACATATTGCTAATAAATAAAAGTGCAATGTTAAAGACACGGTAACTGCTGTCACGCAACATTGTCTTAAGTAGGTACAGCCTAAACATATAAAGAGAGAGATTTTATTTCGCAGATTACACTCACTAACGTGATGATCAGAGAGTTCAGTACGCCGGTCATAGCGGAAGATGCCAATTGGTGAAGAAACTCCAGGCTCATAACGAGCTCGTACAGCGGCGACTCGTTGCATTCGAACGGGAGCTGCAGCTTCAACGTAAACTCGCGAACGGGTGTCTCGACTCCGTCGACGTCGTAATTATCGGTGTGGGATACGAGCACTCCGATGCCGTAGGAAAACGCTGCTGCCGAGTGAAGCCCGATAATCACGTTGGAAAAGCGTCGCGACAGATTTGCTTTACTCGTCATGGTGTAAATTTCGCTGATGGCGGCTTTCCTCCAATCTGCAGCCATCGCAGCTAAGGTGTCGTAAAATATACTGCGGCAGTTTATTCTATCCGAATGTAAGGATGCGACACGTACTAAGATGGAAATACAATAAGGGTCCCAAGAAGGAAACAGGTCCGATTTTTCAGCGTACATTTTATGTATACACAGTTGGGAAATTTGTGTTTTTTTGTTGTTAAAAGATATGCCGTTTAAAATTTTTGCGTTAAATGTTTAACACATTCACGTGTTAATTTAACATATTGCTCTTGTGTTAATTGACCACACACACACAAATGTAAAATTATTAAAATACTGAAAAGAAATGTTAAAACAACACAATGCGTACTTATTTTTTAACCTGACACAATACATATGTTCTATATTACTAGTAACAAAATTTATCTGTTAAAATTTACAGAATAAAATATTTATTTTATTCTATACAACATAAGTGAAAGTGACTTCGAACCGTCATTTGACTTATTACATCTGTAAAATGTAAAAATTACATTTTTTAAATTTATTTTGTCATTAAAAATATATAAATTTTACACAAAATCTATTTCAAATTATTTTGAGATTTGCATTTATTTTGTGTTAAAATATTAACAGAGTATTATTTAACATATTATGTTAAATTAACACAAAATTTTGTGTGGACCGTTTGGGACATATGATATCTGTTAAATTTAACACAAATTTTTCAACTGTGTAGTGATATATAAAATACAGAAAATATAACAATAAATATAGCCAGCGTTGGGAAGTAACTCGTTACTTGTGACAAAATTACAGTTACAGTTACTTTTTTTGGTAACTTAACTTTGTTTCTTTCTCTCCATCTGTAACTTTATTCAGTTACATTTTTTCGATAACAGTAATTAATTTAATATAATAGTTACATGAATAGTTACTTTATATATTTGAAACCTCCACAGATTGCATTAGGCCTTTCATTTGCGCATAAACGCCTTTATCGATGCTTTACAGTTAAAATGCTGATTTATTTTCATTGCATGACAGTAACTGCAAAGTAACGACTCGTTACTTTTTTAATAACTGTAACACGTTACTTTTCAGAATTGGTAACTTGTAATTAATTGTAACTAGTTATAATACATTTTTAGCGAAAAAGCTGTAACTGTAACTAGATACTTTTATAAAAAAATTAAAAGTATTAGAATATTATTACGATGAAATGGCAGTTTTTATTTTGTAAGTTAAAAACAATTGCATATAAATTTAGATTAAATATGCCGTATCTTTTTTCTTATCTATATATAAAATAAATGTAAAATTAAAACAAACAGAAATCTTTGTTAAAAGTTAGAAGAAAACATGAGAGCTCTATTTAAAGAAGAAAAAAGTATAGTGAAAATCGTGGTTTTCAGGAACGATCTGACCAAGTAAACTCGATTCCCATCTATGACTATGTAAGAAATATTCTCTTACCGACTATTCAGCCATAAAATAATCAGTTTCAGGAACATTACGCTGTATTCCAAGGTGACACTTAAACCGTCCATCAGATGTGACAAATCGTCGTTGCCAATGTGAACGATGATCCACCAGTACTGACAAGTCTGCACTATGCTGGTGGTCAGTATCCAAACACCCCGAAACAACAGCGCGTACGGCGCATTAGGCCAAATCCCAACAATTCGAAGACCGATTTGCACCGAAAGGGCAACAGTGCTTGTAGCAGTCATTTTATCGCGTCGTGGCTCTTTACACCAAAATACACCAATAACGGTATACCAATTTATACTGTAAGATTTGGCCGGAAAGACACCTACGTTGCCCAAAATGTAATTTAAGGCACTTAATTGTCGATATTGCTGACGTCGTAAAGCCACAGATCACAATGGCTGCGTATGATTTTGAAACGACTGTAGAGCAGCAGATTGATCACGCAAGGGTCGCCGACTAAACGCAGCCATAGAAGTAATCGCCGAGCAATTGCAACCAACTGCGAACAAGACTTTATGGTGGTTTACACGGGACAGAGGGGATTAAAATTGCAACGACCGAACGATGATTATGCGCAATCGCTTTGTACAATGATTGCCTTATTCTGTCGTAAAAAAACATGACCGATGAGACAAATTAGTTATTTGAATAATGTAGGGTTTTCTACCTATGTTTCATGACAGCGAACTAGACTCGGGTCTAGAATAATAGCTCTTTGAAGAAACAGAAAATATGGCAGAGAAAACCAGATTACATGCGCATATGCTTCCAACTGTACACAGTAAGTGATGATTTCTGACGGAAGAACAGTAGTTCACACATGGAAACTTCAGATTTTTTATTTTCACTTTAATGATGAAAAATTTTGGTAAATATGAATATAAATAATTTCCTTGATAAACAATTCAAATAATAAATTTTTAAAAATATATGTTTCTTAATAATAAATTCGGCATTTATTTGTAAACATATAAAATTATTTTTTTAATTCTTATAGCATAAAAGTTTTCAAATATTTTTACACATTTTTATGTCTTTTGTTGTATCTCATTTCTGTACAGTTAATTTTTTAGATATTTTTCTCAGATGTTTTACCTAACAAGAAAACGACAATATATTTACGCTAAAATATGTTGTTCTGAAAGTAATGAATCATAATAAAACTAATATCAATTTCCCCCTCATTTGTGTCACGAGATCGAGTAAGATCTAAATAAAGAAAATAATTTAAACTTTTTTCATTTGTATCCACGATGTGTATTATTAAATTGTACAATAAATTTGTATAAAGAAATTAAGAATATTTTGACTTTCTCACAGCGTGTATATGCGAGTTTAAGTTTCTTCGGTATTAATACATTGCATATAAAACAGATACATACGATGCAGATGCTTTCAAACTCTGAAAAATTAAGTAATATGCAATAAATCAATTTACAGATAAACCGATAAAATAAAATATAATTATTGCAAATGATATGAATATAAATTATAATTATTATATGATACTTGTTTTAACAGTAATTACATGTATAACATAAAAAAAGTGTGAAATAATTGCTTTCACGTATGCTCTCAACTATATTGTATTCTTAAACAAGTTTTCTATTTAAAATGGTTTGAATTCTTTTTATATTCTATCCACACATTTAATGCTAAACATAATTAAAATTTTTTAATTTTGATCACGTGCGTTGTAAGATAAGCGATGAGGTATTAAACATGACGTATAAACTAATTCTTAACATTCGTCTCATAATAAAAACAATATAATACACAGTTGAACAATTTATGTTAAATTTAACAATATGTCCCAAAAACGGTTCACCCAAATTTTTGTGTTAATTTAAGATAATATGGATATGTTAAATAATCACACTAATATTCTGTTAATATTTTAGCATAAAATAAATGCAAATCTCAAAATAATTTGAAATAAATTTTGTGTAAAATTAACATATTTTTAATAACAGCATAAATAAAAAATGTAACTTACATTTTACAGATATAATAAGTCAAATGACGGTTTAAAATCATTCTTATGTTATATCCCTTCCCTTCCCTTTTATAAGGGATATAAGGGAAGGGATAAAAAAGAGATGTGTACCGAAAAGTGCGCGCTTGGTCGAGCGGTATTGTCGCCGCTTTTCCGCGATGCCGATTGGTTGGTTGGCTGTTTCGAAATCGCGTTTTTCTATAAATGTAGCCTTTTTTAAGCATAGTAACAACCTTCATGGCAACTGATATTGATCGACCACTTTGACAGCTGCAACACTTTGAAGTTACAATATGTTGCGAATTTTTACTTGAATTATTTTTAAGATGTGTTAAGCTCATGCGTCCGTTATTCGTGAAGAAAAGATACTAATGCAATGCGTATAGAGAAGCGGGGAAACGTATAGCGACGATGTTATTAAAATTTATGCGATAAGCAAAATTCATAAAAAGGGCAACATTCATAGGAACAATTTTATCACTTGCCATTTCGCCGTGCCTGAGCTCGTGAAATCTCAGGCATCAATTGTGAAATATAATCGCTTATTATTTAAAAAGTACTAGAAATGACAAAACGCGCGCTTCGCGCGCGCAGTTTGTGGTCGAGCATTGTATATTTTTAAGAATTTGTATACATGTAAAGAATTGTATACGCAACGTCACTTTAAAATAAAACATAATTTGTCACTCACTGATACACAACAGCAGAGTTGTACATACATCGTCAACTGTGTATGTTAAACTGTAAAAATACAAATATGTATATGATTATTACAGACTAATTATATAAAATCGAAATGATTGTATTACATATACTTTATATTTAAAAAAATAGGTATTTATTAAAATAATGTAGAATACTAAAAAAGTCTTCCTTTTAAATATAAACTCACAAAATTTTATACGTATGATTTTGTCTCTAACACTTATTCGAATTCTCGTTCGAATCATTTGAATAAATAAAATAAAAACACAGAACAGATGCTTTATTTTGCACAAGTAGCAAATAACATAAAAATGTAAGATACTCACCTCACCGATTTCTCCGCTGTTGCCCGATGCCTCCTTGGCCTCCTCCTCCTCTCAGATTTCCTTGTTGCACTCACACAACACTAACTCGCGAAAATAATCGATCGCGCGAAATTTCGGCACTCCCGTACACGATGTGAGATACCGCGAAACGAAATATTGAAAAACGACAGAGCGAATTACAGCGCGAACGCCGAAATCACGCACAAATTTCACGCACAAGTTTCTCTCTTTTCCCGAAAATAGAACGGATTACACGAAATTGATAGATAATTAAAAGCGCGGTGCGTAAACGTGATGTAACCGCGACAAAGTACCACGGTTCACATTCATATTTTAGACGAGTTAGTCTCGTGAAATATTTAATTATGTATACGTTGATAAAGAGCCGTCGCCTCAACGCGCAATTCGTTTCTCATTACAAGTTGTAGGAACTTAATAATCGAGGAACGTTACTCGTTACTGATAAAGGTGTACAAATCGATAGCGTTTTATCCCTACATTCGTCGCGATCGAGTCTTGGAAACCGATAACTCAAAAATAATAACACGCACGGAGCGACTCACACCACTGCTTGCCGGCTCGACGTTCGGCGAGCGACTGATAGCGACCTTCGGGTACACAATGGCACGCAAAAACATTGTACGTCACCGCGCCGAGAGAAAAACAACTACGAACGTTGAGAATTCGTTGTCCCGCCTACGAAATTGAAAATTCTGTACTTAATATTTTACATTACTTTGTTCCGTGACTGTTACTACGTTTTGTATCATTCTGCGGACTTATTGGTATTGATTAAATTAACGATTAATTCTGTTCAATCGAGAAAATGTTTCGAAACAAAAAACATTGTTACTTAAATTCTAATTATTATACTAAGATTAGAGATTTTACCTCAATAGTTGGTGTATACAAATGTATATTACTAAATTGCAAATCTTCATTTATTATGGGCAAAAATTATCGAATTATTTACTTTAATAATAATATAAATTGGTATTAAATACTTTATTGGAAATAGCATTGCGCGCGCTATTTGGTTTTAATTTATATTTATTCATGATCTTCACACATTAAGATTTTTTTCATGTGAAGAAGACGTAATCTGACGTTGACACTCTGTTAAAATACATATTACATGATTTTCGCACTGACAGCTACTCGCACTACAAAGCCAAGCGAGAAAATCAGCATCGCGGAACAGCGTTAATAATTCGTCTTACATACTTTTTAAAAAGAAGATTAGTTATCGTTGTATTTCATCAGAAGAATGAGACTTTCTTTCATTCTTCTTCACTCAATTAGATTTTTAACTTTAACTTAATCTTCTTTTTGTTTAGTCTCTAACTTTCTTTAAGTATATTTTTGCACAACTATCAAAATTCACATGCGAGCTGAAACATGAGACGAATCTAAAAGAGAAGTGAATCACACCGTGCTTCGAGAAAACCAATCGGCATCGCGGAAAAGAGGTCTAAACTGTTCGATATTAACATTCGCGCTGGTAACATCTCTTTTTTAGAATATAGGAAATAAATTTTTAAAAATAAATTTAAAAATTTATATTTCTTTTTATATAATTATTTGTTATATACATACATGTACAGGAGAAAAAGTAAAGACCGTAAAAGCGCGCGCGTTAGCGTAGTATAGAATAGTATAGAATAAAATAAACATTTTATTCTGTAAATTTTAACAGATAAATGTTGTTACTAATAATATAGAACATATGTATTGTGTCAGATTAAAAAATAACTATACATTGTGTTATTTTAACATTTTTTCAGTTATTTTAATAATTTCACATTTGAGGTCAATTAACACAAGAGCAATATGTTAAATAAACACACGAATTGTGTTAAACATTTAACACAAAAATTTTAACCGGCATTTTTTTAACAAGAATACACAAATTTTCGAACTGTGTATACACACTTAATATGTATTGCAATAAAAGTATGTATTATTAACTTGCGTCATAAAAAGTTCGTAATTTCATTACTGAAATCTTACGTTTGTGAATCCTTGCAATGATAAATCCAAAAATTTGCCCGCAGTGATCGTCAGCCGTCTTTGCGATCTCATTATGACAAGGAGCAAAATGCGGCAATCCCGAGGCTTGAGAGTATACCACATAGATTCATATACAGCGTCGCCAATCGTTGTGCTCTAAAATGCGAATGAGAAAAGGCGCATTTGGAAGAACGAGACATCGCCCTCGGCACGCATAACACGCAGTGCTTCCTTTCCATATGAGCAATCTCTCCGAATCGGTCCGATTTTTTATCGACAGCCTAGTGATCTTCGTAACAGTCCACGCGGAGAAAAAACTGACAAGTGATTTCGAGTACTCACCTTATTACTTAGATATTCACCAGCGAAACAAAAAATAAAGGCTTCCAAAGTAATAGCGATATAAAAAAACAGGGTCTTCACTAACATCCTGACGCCTTCATCTGTACCCATTGACTGCAAGTCCAGAAAAGGGTCAGAAAGAAAGTTCGACGATCCCTATAAGGCAGAGATCTCAGACGCGAGTGATCATCTCCCACCATCGTGGAACTCGCGAGGCCGCAACGGGCCTTGTGTGAAGATAAAGGAGATCCGGTCAGTCTTATAGCTTTTCAAAATGGAGAGATGACTCTTCAAAGAGCAAATCGTGCCAATACGTTCACATAGCGATCTTTTTACTTGCTTTCTGTTTGCGGCGAGGTAGTAAAGATTCGTGTATACCGTGCGGTTTGAGTGAACATGAGTGTGAATCTGAGACCACTGCCAATTCAAATACCATGAAGTGACTTGAAATGTGTGTAGCACATAAAATATATAAGTATATATAAATATATATAAATGATATATAAATATATAAATAACTTTAGCAAGAAGAGAGAGGTTAAATGTTTACATTATCATTTGCTTCCGACTAGATGTATTAACATTCACGTTTAACGCGACTGTGCAGGTGTATGCACAGCTATCAACAGGTATAGTACGTATATCTTTGTGCGTCGTAACTTTTATAAAACACAATAATTAGATACAGTGGAAAAATACGTATCTAAATACATGGAACATTTGAAAATCTAAATTTTAAACAAAAGATCGCTTGAATACTCACGGTTACTATGAGAAATCCGATGCAACATATGATCAACGTATTCGAAAAAAATTGCATCAATGCGATCTGAGAGAAAAGAGTCTCGATGTTCTCCGAAAAGCCGATAATCTTATGGTGTTTATTGATTAAGGATCTCACAATGGCAGTGGGTAAATCATATTCGTTATCTTTAGGGTAAATCCTTCCCACTTCCTGTTGCATGAGATCTATTTGCCCACCAGTGTGCAGCATCTGTATATTATTAGTAAAATAATTGTTATAAGTAGTCAGTTACACAACTGCTAAACAAAAGTATTACATAGAAAACAATCTTTTACATAACTTAGATATTACTACAAATAGAACATATACAAATCAACGTTTTGCTGAAATATTATAAAAATTGAGTTAAATACATATCTGAAAATAATGATGTTAGACAATCTAAGTAATAAATAATTGTATTGGCTCAAACTGATCACTAGAAAATCAATACTTTTGAAAACAACATTATCATCATGTTTAATTACACAGTTGAAAAATTTGTGTCAAGTTTAACAGATATCACATGTCCCAAACGTCCACACAAATTGTTGTGTTAATTTAACATAATATGGATATGTTCAATGATCACACTAATACTCTGTTAATGTTTTAACACAAAATAAATGCAAATCTGAAAATAATTTGAAATAAAGTTTGTGTAAAGTTAACATATTTTAATGACAAAATAAATTACAAAAATTTTTACATTTTACAGATGTAATAAGTCAAATGACGGTTCAAAATCACTCTCACTTATGTTATATAAAATAAAATCAACATTTTATTCTGTAAATTTTAACAGATAAAACTTGTTACTAATAATATAGAACATATGTATTGTGTAAGATTAAAAAATAAGTACACATTGTGTTGTTTTAACATTTATTTTCAATTATTTTAATAATTTTACATTTGAGGTCAATTAACACAAAACGAACCGTCATTTTTTTTAATAAAAAATCACAAATTTTCCAACTGTGCATTCTTTAATTAACAGGAACATAATTATTTTGGTTCAACATTTTCAGGTTTTTCACACAAATATATTATTAGTCTACGATGAATCAACCCGACCGAAGGCATATTTCTATTCATTTGTGAAAAAAATACTGCTAAATGAATCGTGATATACATTCGACGGTCTCGCAAGCACCTGCGATATACATGCGTGTATACGGCCTAAAAAGGAAGAGACAGATGGCCAAGCTGACTGTTTCAAACTCCTTTTAAGTACTAAAGTCTTTGAAATAAATGAAAACGCCAGCCGGCTCACGGTAAAGCGTCGGAACGAGGTGAACCGTGGTCGCAAGGTCTTGTTCGCCCTGCAATACAGAGAGGGATATTGAAGCAACCGAAAGCGGGACCATCGCACTAAAGCGTGGAAGAACCTACGCAAACCTACGTACGCATGCGCATGGATCGTAGATCGACAGCGCGAACGACGCGACGCGAGCCCGATCGACTCAAGTAAAAGAGGGGATAAGGTTGAGGTCTGCGAGCATCGATCTCTCCTAGCGATCGAGAGTCCGTTGGTATCGCGAAACATTTCACACACGTGTGTTGTCACTTGCGCCTGCGTTTTGTGCCATTTTAGCTTGCACTTTACTGTCTTTCATGCAATTTAGGTTTTCTTTAACCAGTACTTTCTTTGCGTTCGCGTGTACGTCGCATATAAATCACGATAAATAACAAATATAATATTGAATGTTGATTTTTTTCGCGGAGTTTTAATCAGTTCAACTTCTTCGCAAAATTGTTTGTTCGTTTTGGTTGATCTTTTTATTACCCTTTGAAAATATTAAAATATTGATTTAATAATTGGTATAATCGGTTTGTATTTAGTTTAATTATTTGCATATTTTAAAATGTCGTATTGTCGGTCTTTGAATTTTTTTCTCCCTGGAGATTGTTGAGTTTCATGAAAAAACGAAAACAATTTTTAACGTACAGTTTCCTTGGAAATCATATCACGCATACACAGTTGGAAAATTTGTGTTTTCTTCTGTTAAAAAAAATGTTTAAAAAACACATTCATGTGTCAATTTAACATATTGCTCTTGTGTTAATTGACCTCAATTGTAAAATTATTAAAATAACTAAAAAGCAATGTTAAAATAACACAATGTGTACTTATTTTTTAATCTGATAGATCTGATACGATACATATGTTCTATTTTATTAGTAACAGAATTTATCTGTTAAACTTTATCTGTTAAAATGTTGATTTTATTCTATACAACATAAGTGAGAGTGATTTCGAATCGTCATTTAACTTATTACATCCGTAAAAAATAAAAATAACACTTTTCTAAATTCATTTTGTCATTAAAAATATGTTAATTTTACAGACAATTTATATTAAATTATTTAGAGATTTGCATTTATTTAGTGTTAAAATATTAACAGAGTATTAGTGTGATCATTTAACATATCCATATTATGTTAAATTAACACAAAAATTTGTGTGACCGTTCGGGACATGTGATATCTGTTAAATTTAACACAAATTTCTTAACTGTGTAGGTACATATATGTATATAATATCTACACACATTCATAATATTAGTCATATTTGTAATATTTATTATTATTATTTATTATTTGCGACCATTGTTCATTAACCCTCCAGCAAAAATATCTTTTTATTTGATAATACGCTTGTATTTTTCAGCGCGGATAAAAGGGACTCTCATGAAGAGAAATTAAATATTTTCATTCTCAGAATTATTCATGCATTAATAAATAAAATAAATAAAATTATAGAAATAATATTAATAAAACGCAACACGAAAAATTGAAAATGTCGATCACAACTCACCAACGTAACCATTAATGCATCGAGCATAGCTATGGCGGAGGCGACCGCCAATAGGTGAATAAATTGCACGCATTCCACGATCTCGTAAATTGGCGATTCACAGAACACAAAGGGCAACTCCATTTTTATAAGCAACTCTCGGCAATCGTCGTCGGTCTGCTTACGAAGGTTGATAGACGCAGTGCTGTAAAGCAACACCGCCGTCAAGTAAACACCGATGGTGAATTTCGAGCAGCGATGCGCGAGGATTGCCTTGTCGATCATGATGTGCATGTTGGAACACTCGCGCCAGTCGTCGGACATCGCCGTCAAGATATCGTTGAATATTCTGCAATGCAACACTTCTCAACGCGTCGCAACATCGATGTACATTCACGATATGTTGCGGAAAATGCGCTCTCGCGAAGAGAAGGGAAACACGAAGTCGACTGCCAAGCTAGTTTTTCCTCTTCATCAAAAACAGAAGTCTGACTCTTATTTCAAATGTCACCGAATCGATGCGATTATATTACTATCGCGCAGTAAAAAATCACAATATTTACATTATTTTATACCATAACATCAATTAAAGATTAATTGAAAATTAAAATTCGAAGGAATAAAGGATATAAGAGCCAAGACAGGATCTAAATGATTTAAATGTTTCAATTTATTGCGAAAAATTGCCTCGATGCCTCGGTGGTTGAATTGGTGAGACGCCCACCTAGTGAGAGGGAGATCCAGATTCAAACCCCGGCTGAGGTAAATTTTTCGCAATAAATTTAATAATTAATATCATTGAAATAAAATAGTCACGCTCGTTTTTTAGTAATAACAAATATTCAAAGTCACGGCCGATGTATTTTTCTCTATTGATGTAACTGTTTTGTAATTCCAATCGAAATCGATATTGTATAGAATAAATTTGGTTAATCTTACAATATAACAATTGTACATCCTACTTTTGCTCGTAGAATACATTGCCCGTGACTTTGAATATTTATTAAAATCATTTAGACACCAACATGCTGTCTTGGCTCTCATATCGCTTTTTTCCTTAGAATTGTCATTTCACGTCAGAACCTTATGAATTTTACTGTTAAAATTAAAACATTATACGTCTTTTCAGGCAACCTGAAACTTAGGCATTAAATTGGAGAACACTTTGGAGAACCATCTTGCTTGGCAATCAACCTACTTCACGTATCGTTGTTATCCCCAACTGAGGAGTGAACTGGATTAATCTAACATCGAGATATGACGAATTATTATAATATCGGCGGCACATACCGGTTATTGACCCACAGAACAATCAGCTTAAAGAAGAGGAGACTGTACGGCAAAGCGGTACTCAATCCATCTATCAGATGCAACAATTCGTCGGAGCTGAAGTGCGTCAGAAGATAGTGGCACTGGAAGATCACCACTGTTCCCATCACCAATGACCAAAGCAGTCTGAAGAAAATGGAGGAATTCGGCCATATCCCGGTAAGACGAAGGCCGATTTCGACCGGTCGACCGATAGTGCTGGCCGGCAACATCGCGCGTAAAATTCCACGTTCCTGCTTTCCGTCCGTTGACGGAGCCGAGCGAAACGGGGGTAAGTCCCAGACGAGGCTCCCGTACGATCGCTACGCGTACTCGCTGAAGCTTCAAGATATTAGCATGAAGATCGGATACGGCTCCACCTTAACGGCCGCCGACCAATCGCGTACGGTAGACGTGTATTTTCGTCGTGTGCTTAGGAATGCAGAGAAAAGTTACTACGATCGAATGATGATTGCAGGCCTCGACGAGCGAGGAATCAATGGGGGCGCTGTTTGGTAGTTTCCGGAACGGGAAAACCCCCTGTCGCCGTTATTGCGGATGATTTACTTTAAAAATGCAAGGAAATGGGAAAAGTTGCAGAGCCAAAGATGGCTAGAGTGACCATCGTCGAGAGAAGTTTCTGAACAAAGCCTATGGTGGAACATAAGTTCGACCCATAAGAACGTAGTGCTGAATCTTCGTCAACGACCGGTCGAGATGCATAAGGAAATGCAACAGGCAGAAGATAAATCATCCTCATATGTAATTTCGGTTTGAATGTGCATTTAAAGTGATCTCAGAGATCGGGAGTCTATATTTATGTTGATATATTGATGTATCCATTGGTTCGGATGCCTATATCTGCCCCGGACGAGAAAATTTTAGTAGAAATAAAGGACGATGAGCATTTTAATAGAACTTTGTACGATGCAAATGAGAAACATGACGAGGTAAATGCTGCTTTATATATTTTTAAGTCGCAAGAATATTTAGCATATACGTCTTTACATCTTGTTCTCGAATTTTATGAAGAGATAAGTGTAACGCGTACGAAAGTGAGCAAGAGATTAGACAATAAAATATTTACGTAGCACATAATGTTCTAAAATGATAGAATATGTAATATGCAAATATGTGTATATGTTTATGTAGACCTTGCAATTGATATCTTTTTGTTGATCAAGACATTGCAAGCAACACCGATACGAAAGAGACAGAAGCTTTCAAAATCTGAAACGTAGTATCCTTTTAGATTAAAAAGAATCGTGTGTTCGAAAGACAATATTTTTAATATCTTACACTTGCAAAAACTTCCAAAGACAGTTCATTAAATTTTCCGATTGTTAAGGTCAATCGTTTCTGTGATCTCAATATTAAAATCAATAAAATTCGACTTTCACTGGGTCTCACATTGTACCAAAGAGCCTCGTAAGCTGCATTTGCAACTGACTTGCTCTGCAAAAATAAAAAGAGAAAAGAAATAACAATAAGATCGTGATTCAACAAATATTTAAGTACACCATTAGTTTGCGAAAAGAATCGGCTTCCTGAAAGTTGCATTATGCTAAAAGAATTCGTATAATAAAGCAATTATCTGCAAAGTAAAATTAATTTTGTATATCTAGTATTCGTGGTAAAGTATTTGATTTAAACCTTATTGCTAAGATACTCTCCAGCAAAGCAAAAGATGAACGCTTCCAAAGTGATAGCGACATAAAAGAACATGGACTTCAATAACGTGACGTACCCTTGGTTACCTTCGAGAGACTGAAAATTTGAGAAAAAAGATTTTGCATCACTTCCATACCACAAGAGTCTACACGTATACGTATCGAAATATAATTTACAATTCACTTATGATAGCCACAGACTTGTACTATATACTGCTAGACTGCTACCTTCGAGCTGAAAAGTGAGGCAAGAGTTCCGCCATGTCTTGTTCGGTAAATAAAGTAGTATGCGTAGCAGTTTAGTAGTATATAAAAGACTGTGTATATATAGCGCGAGATATTTATTAAAAAAAGGCTCACAATCACTATCACGAATGCTATGCAACATATGACAAGCGTGTTCGTAAGAAACTGCATTAGCGCAATATAAGAGAAAAGACTCTCGATATTGAGTGAGAACTGAATGACATTTTGATGTCTGCGAATAACTGCGCCCTTCGCGTCCTTATACGATTTAGATTTGCAATCTTTTGAGAAGAGTTCGAGCAACCCTCGGCACACAATATCTATCTGCCCGCTTATGTGAAATATCTAAAAGTTCAAGACGTCACGTTGTAAAGATAAACAAATTTCTTACAGTTATTCTTAGACTAACAAATTTTTCGATGATAAATTTTCGCTACCTCCAGTAAGCACGCAGTCAATATAAATCCTGAAAATCTGTACTGTATGCTACTTTTATATTAAATTATATTTAGGACCAGTTTTACAAAAATCGGTTAGCTGTTAACCAGAGTTCAGTCAACTCCCTATCTTTTTCTATCTTATTATCTAAGAAGAGACAGCCCAGCGAGACATGACTCGTCGATCGATATCGAAACGATGTCGAATCGATGTCGAATAAGATAGAAAAAGATAGGGAGTTGACCGAACTCTGGTTAACAGTTAACGGACGTTTGTGAAACTGGCCCTTAGCATAAAAAGTTGATCAAAAGTAAATGAGAAATTTACCAATGTTATGATCAGCGCGTCCAGCATCCCAATTAACGAGGCGTTGCAAAACAACTGTATAAACTGAACAAACATGACGATTTCATAAACAGGAGATAATTCATAAACGAAAGGGAATTTCATCTTAAGAAAGAGCTGATTCTCTTTTCTGTCAGGCCCGTTATTGATGCTGTTAAATTCCATTACGAAAGAGACGTAGATCAAAACAGCTATCATGTACACTCCGATAATTAGCATCGAGCAACGATGAGAAAGAGTCGTTTTATCCATCATGGTGCGCACGTTGAAGGCAACGGGGCCACAGTTACTCCAATCTCGCGACATCGATGTCAAAATGTCGTGAAATAATCTGAAAAGATTGTTACCATTGCACATCACACAAACTAATGAATTCTCGAAAGAAAGAATCGTATACGACTTAAACTGATAGGTGGTTTATTTAAAATTGTTCCAAATAAATACCCAATGAATTCCGGCCGCAGATGTCTAAAGTGAAAATTGCTGTGCAGATTTGGACACGTGCGTGAAAATAGAATAATTAGTTTTCAAATGCTTCTCTGTTAATTTTCTGTTCTCTAAAAGTCAATCAATGAATTGTCTGAATTGACTTGCAGTTATAAATATACTACCAAAAATTGCAGTGGCATATTTATCTGTAATCAGTGACGATTCACTGGTTTCAGTGATAATCCACTGAATGACTCTTAGAGAGTGCCTTAGGAAATGTTGCACGGTGAGGAATAATTATTCGGTATCGAAATAAATAAGGAAGTGTCTCACCTCTGATTCTGCCAGAGCATAATCAATTTCAAACAGAGCAAAGTGTAAGGCAGCGTGGTGCTGACGCTGTCCACCAGATCGAGGAAATTGGCAGTTTCGATGCAGGTGACGATGTATTTGAACTGGAATATTTGAGCGAGGCCCAAGGAGATCGTCCAGAAAGTCCGATACAAGATGCTGTAAGATCTCGGCCAAACCCCGATAGCGCGCAGCCCGAACTTAACCGGAGGGCTCACGGTGGTCGTAAGACCCATTTTACGTTAACTTTTGATTAGCAGGACGACCGTGCTCGGCGCGTTTAACGGTAAGCTCCTCTTAACGCCGCCTTTAATAGCAGTCGTCAAAAAGTTACCACATTGTTACCAGTAATTTGATACGACGTAGAAATCTCACCACGCGCCACGCAACATCGAGTAATCCTCAAGAATCTAGAGGGTTCGTCGCCCAAGCTTGAACCCGGTGATTCGTCGACCGGCCCAAATTATTCATCGCATATCTACGTGGTATATTATAAGAGAGAAACTACACGACTATGATTTCAGGTTTGCGCCGAAGGGGAAAAAATATATTATAGATAAGTTTGTGCGCCTCCACGTCGAATGTCCCCAGGTGTGCGATCGCAATGTTATTTGCTTTAAAAATGCAAAAGGCGCATTTCGGATAAGCCTGTGCGTCGTGATGCGCTACAAAGTTATAATCGAAAGTAAGATGGAGAACTTCGGCGAGGAAGGGAGTCACGGTGCGTCTTCGACACGACCGATGCACGAAGCAGAGCAACGCAGTGTTCTGTGTTCAACGTTCAGTGTTAAGAGTAGAGATCTCAAGTTGCTTTATCTAGTGCCGTGTGCGTTGTGTCTTTAGATAATCATTTATTTTTTCATAATAGATATTAGAAGAACTGTATGAGAGTTTTGTGAAAGTTTACCATACATTTTTGCTAGTAAAATGTATCCTAAGTATATACTAGTAAAATGTATGGTAAAATTTCAAAGAACTCTCATGAAATTCTTCGAAATGCCGTGTTGTCTCACGAACACAATATTTTCAGGATAAATTTTAAAAGAAAATTCTCTCCATGTACCTTTCTCTCTCGCACAGATGTTGGACACAGGCTCGTTCCTTACTAAATATAGGCAATTCCTCTTCCATGTATACGTACATGTTCTTGGCTTCTTCCTTTCTTCTCTTTTTCTTTTTCAATCGATGGATTTATCTCTACCTTGAAAGCAAAATAAATAGCGAGAAATAGAGCCACACGAAAAAGTTGTGTGCGTACGCGCGCGCGCGAGTGTGTGTGCACCGTATTTAAATATTCGTTTATGCAATTCTTTCTGCATTAGTTAACATTTTAATGCGAAGTGTTTATTGCCCCGCAATAGTTTAATTTTCAACTATTCACATTTGTACAAAATTTTTTACAATTTTGTGTTTACAACTGTCTCACAGTTTTCAATACATGGCGTGTAACACCGACGCGTAAGATGCAGATGCCTTCAGAATCTACGAGAAAACGAAATGTCAATTTCGTTGTTCAACAATTAAATCTCATGGTTTGCAATTACAAGAAAACAGATAGCATAAAATAAATATTGTGACAAAAATGCAATTCTTCACCGTAGATCTTGCTGGCTAATAAAAGTTATCAATTAAATTGCAGTAATACTTGATTAATATCACTTAAGTATATCATATTTGCAATCGCATCGCTGCTGTCATTGAGAGAAACGAATATTACAAAATTCTTACGCTCGTAAAAGCCTCCAAAGATAAATCTAGGAATTTTCCGGCCGTCATTGTCAATTCCTTCTGAGATCTCATTATTAATAAGAGTAAGATTTTACTCTCCGTAGGCTTTAATTCGTACCAAATTGAATTGTATGCCGCCCGATTTATACACTTGCTCTAAGACAGAGAGAGAGAGGAATAGGATATTAATAATAGATAAAAGTTTGCACAATATATTTACGCGACAATTTAGTGGATGTTCGACAGTTTAACGTTTATTTTTCACTCCACTTGTATCGACGCGATCCCAAAATCGATTGTTCGCATCGACATATAGAATGGACCGAGCGTTACGCGCGACGTGCGAGCACAAGCTTTGAACCAAGAGAGAAACACAGTAGGACGTCTGTCTCTGTCTAATGTAGGGCCGTCTTTTGACGGTCAACAGGTACCTATTGTGTTTCTCTCTCGCTTCAGAGCGCGTGCTGGCACGTCGCGCGTAATACTCAATCCATTCTACAATATATGTCGATGGCGATTCAACTTCTATCTATCATCGAATGTGCGATGTGAAACCTCTCAATCTTCCTCTTCCCTTTTTCTCACCTTGGAACTGAGATATTCGCCGCTGAAGCAAAGTATAAACGCTTCCAAGTTCACGACGGCGTAATAAGGTATCATCTTTATCAACACGGCATTCGCGCCAGGGGAGTTAAACGACTACGATTCAGAGACGAGTCCTTCGAACAAATCGCAAAATTCTGCCTAGGTCGAGCGTATCGGATTACTCACAGTTATAATTACGAATCCGACGAAGCAAATAACGAACATGTTTGAGAAAAACTGTATCAGCGCCATGTAACAGAACACATTCTCGATGCTATCCGCCAAGGCAATAATCCTTTGATGTCTATTCACGACAGACCTCAATGCGACCGTACGCGTATCGTGTTTGTCCTCGTCAACAGGAATCTCCAGCAATTCGTGGCACATTACGTCGATCTGACCGGCAATGTGGAGTATCTAAAAGTGATGATCCAGAATTGTCCCAAAAGCTGCAATCTGCCAACGATCTAGGGCGCATTAGGGATCTGCTAACTCGAATTCCGTCCTGGCAGTCGAATTTCTCCGTTGATACAGACTTAATTTTCATCGCGATGTAAAATTTCGTTATGTCGTAACACGATTATGTTAATTAAAACAAAACTCAGACAAGGAACGAGTAAAATAGTGACTGAATAAATTTAAAAAAATTAACAAGTAACTGGACTCTCGAAATTAAAAATACAAGGGGTTAGGCTGTGAGAGTCAAGCGCGGTTATTTGTGCGTGTGAATATAATTTAGAGGAAAGTCGTCTATTATGAGATGAGTTTCTAATATGACATAGCAGGTTTTCAACACCCAAATTCAATCGCAAATATTTTTTCGCAACAATTATACAATTTAACAATGAATTTTCCACCCAACAGATTTCGCTCCAATGGCAATAAATTCATGGTGGAATCAATTGAACTATTACATAATTTAACAGAAACCCCGCTATTCCATATTAGTCGTATATCTTTCTTTCGATATTATATTAACACGCACAAATAACCGCGTTTGACTCTCATGAATAAACTTAGGGCTTTTGCAAGGAGAAACGCGACGCTCTTCGCTACGGAACCAACTTACTAATGTCACAATAAAAGCATTCAGCATCCCCGCTACGAGTGCCGACGTGAATTGCAGGACAAATTGCACGATCATGACGATTTCGTAAAGCGGCGACACACTGCACTCGGGCGGTAGTTTCATTTTGACAATAAACTGCTTCTCTTCGACAACTTGCTCGATGCCTGCGCTCCTTTCGGCGATTATGTTACTCCCCGAAAATAAAATTAGCACGATCGTATACGCACCGATGCTGCATTTGGAAAAGCGATGGGACAAAATCGCTTTGCTTATCATCAGCTGCATTTTCGATCGAGTGGATGCGCACTCATTCCAGTCTTCGGCCATCGTCGTGAAAACATCATAAATGATACTGGATAACATAATATATATACACGCAGATTATTAACAGAGACATGAACTAAGAGCTGTAATTAAGATTCCGAAAAAATTATATTCCACTCGTGAGAATCAATTTCCTGCTAAATAACGAGTCTAAGGCAATCTGACGTGATACAACTCGTACAATGTCGGTCTCAAATGTCAAACCCCCGATAGGAACGTATTTAGAAAATTATGTGACGAAACCTGGATGAAAATTGGAATGCTGGAATTATGCGTACATATTTCGAACAACATATGCATAAATGGAGTCCTTTCGTTACTATTGACAAATATTTGCACAATTAAATTGCTGTTGTGTTACGACGAGCTGCCGCTACGAGGCGTCTCATACTCGTAAGTGAAATTCAGGCGAGACGAGATACAATCAAGCCCAGCGGTAAATACGTCCCACGCTAAATCTTCTTTAAACATTTATTACACGTAACTGTGTTGCTGGGCAATAAATGCTCAAAGTACCAGTTCGTTCTGGTACAGAACTGATACGGAACGAACTTGATAAAACAGGCTTTTAAGCCTAACACGAGGAAGAAGAAGAAGAAGACATTGTTTATTGTGTGATACGTTTATCGTATGCAAAAGGCAGTAAAACCTACGATCATACCATATATGATATAATAGACACGCTATATTCGATTGATTATTCTATTCACATTCGAAAAAGATTTATAGTGGTGCCAGTCGAATGTTCTACGAACATAAGATGAATATATAAGGATGACCTATGGAATAGTCCAAATATTCTTGAAGAATATTCTTAAAAAGTTCACAGGAGTGTCTTATGCTATCTGGGATTGTGCATGATTTTTCCCCTAAATAGAGATTATCAATTTTTGGGCAAATGCCATTTAGAAACTTTATCCCTACAAAACCGCTGCGTTTTGACGAATCGCCTTGACGCAATCGTTGTGAAATTTCCTCCTTTTGGATGATGCGCTTATTGCACAATATTTGAGACATTTTCCTATCGGGGAATTAACTGTTTCGCGAGCTAACGCATTCAACCTCGAATTTAAAAACAGTTAACTTGAAACACACGCGCATGTTCATTCTCGGTCGCCAGTTGGGAACATCGCTTACCGTCCGTTTAACCAGAGAAGGATGAACTTGAGAAACAACAGGCTGTTCGATATGCACAGACTCATAGAGTCCATGATGTTCGGCAGGGTGTCGGAGCCGATGTGAGTGAGGAGGTACCAATACTGTAAGAACTGCGAGGTAGTCATCAGCGTCGTCCAAACGACGCGCATCAGGAACCTATAGGAGGAATCCGGCCAAACGCCGATCAGCCGCAAAGTGAATTCCATCGGACCGCCGATGGTGCTCGTAGGTATCATCCTCTCCCTCTTTATCCGTACTTGTCGATTAATTGACCGATTCCGGCGATCGTTACAGCCACCGTCCCTCCGTTCAACCGACGTGGAATCCGCAGTCCTATCACGTTTCTTTCGGGGAAAGAAGATGAACCTTGCCTGATTAAGCGAGACCAACTGAAATTCACCAAACATCGTTTAACTTTACTCTTAGTTTAATTCATGTTTGTCTCTTTCTAAGTTGGAAAGAGACGAAGAATGAGTCAAGCCAAGCTTAAAGTTAAGCGACATCGGTGAAACCGGGCCTGAATCACGCGGATACTTGCGTACTACGGCCACTGATGTCAGATGAAAAGGAGTTAGCTAAGACGCCTTGCTGCACCATAAAAACTTCCCGCGGGAGCTGGTTGACAGCTTAGAGGCAGCGTACAAAGTGCTGCTCGCGCGGAACGACTATCGTCCGACTGCAATTATCGAAGATCCATTGTACAAGGCGCACGTAGATGTATAACGACCGCTTTGACGATCGCCGGAGAACGATCGGATATAAGAGGTAGAGCAATCGTGCGTCACGTCGCCCGCAACACCGCCGACGAGATCATGAGACGTTCGCTTTAAAAATGTACGGCCGTAATCTATAAAATTGTTTCGCGGACTCTCGGGCAATCATGTGGAAAATTCAAATACAATTGTCCGCGCGGATAATGAAATATAATGGCCAGCTGTAATAGTTCAATTTGTCGTGGCGCGGCTGCTATACATCATGGCGGACTCGCTTGAGCGACACTCTCGCGTCAGCCGCCGGGTCGTCTCGCTCTGACGGATTAATATATCAAAATCATTTTTTGTTCCTCAGTACATTTCGGAATTAATCAAGAAAATGTGAATTTCATGTCTCTTTTTCAAATATATACAGTACCGGTCAAAATTATATCAGGTTTTCTCAGCATAACTTTCGTCAAAGTGTACCAAATGTGCTTCAAATTTTACACCCGATAGCTGGTGCATCTAATAGAGGAAAATCCCCTGTTATGAGATAGACTTTTGATATGAGATACCAGGTTTTCAACACCCAAATTCAATCACAAATCTTTTTTCGCAACGATTACGCGATTTAACAATGAATTTTCCACTGAACAGACTTCGTTCCAAGAGAAAAAAATTTATGGTGGAATCAACAGACGATGCCTATTAATTTAGCAGAAACTCCGCTATCTCGTAATAGGAGCTTCTCTCATAATAGAAGACTTTCTTCCAGATAAAAGGTAATTAAATTTGACAAGATACGTCATCACTTTCGAATTTTTGATTCCTGCACTTTAAAACTAACTGTGCTCAACAAATCAAAAGATGATGTATAATAATTTTGACCGGTATTGTACACGGAAAAAATCGTTGAAACAACATGAGTATTAATGAATGGAAAACATCAGGTAGTTGTCTTAATAATCAGGATAATAATCGATGCTTAACATAAAAATCCATTACAAATACAGTTGAGTGAATTATTTATGTTTGTGGAAGCCCGTGACGTTAACGTTTAATTCAAGCAACTTCATTTTTCTTAATTTTTAACAGCACTTTTTTCCGTGTATATACAGGGTGAGGAAAAGTATGAAAACCTCTAAATTTTTCAAAAACTATGCATTTTAAAAACAAATGTCTAATATTTTTAATGTTTAAGGAAAAGCAGCTTTTTCAATAATCATCATACGATATCTGGATAACTGTTTATCCAGAGGAGGAAAAATGATACAGGACTTTTTGACTTAATTCGGTGTCAAGAATATACTGTTGCAATAGCACTCCAACTTTGGTAAACATTTGTGTACACATCTCCTTAGAGTTTTCACGTATACACAAATGTTTATAAAAATTGAAGTACTATTACAACAGCATATTCCTGACAGTAAATCAAGTCAAAAAATCTTGTACCATTTTTCCTCACGATAAACAGTTATCGAGATATCGTACAATGAATATTGAAAAAGTTGCCACGTTTCTTTGAATATCTAAAAAATTATTAGACAATAAAAAATGTTTCAGACAAAAGTTGTTCCAATTAATTAATAGAAAATTAATAAAAAAGATGATATAATAAGAAATGGAGGTTTCCGTTTAAAAAATTCAGGGTGACCTTTACGTGACCTTCAAGCAACTATTCAAGGTCAAATCAATGACACCAACTTATGTCCTCCTTGAAATCATATAACTTTCGTCTCAAACATTTGTTTTTAAAATGCAAAGTTTGCAAACAATTTAGGGGTTTTCATACCTTTTCCTCACCCTGTATATTTTTCCTTATTCCTTGTATAACTACCGGAAGAAACGATTTTTCAGGGAGCATCTCCTCGGCTTCGACTTGAAACAGCAGCAGTAAATAAATATTGTTGGACTTGCACGAATTCACGGCTGCGAGAATTCCAGTTCTACGATGATATAACGTGACAATGTTACAAGGAGCACGAAACGGCAGCGGCAACCTCCGCTCCTAAAGTTACATCGTGTAATAAATTTTATCCGTATCAGCGGTAGTGGATGTGCCACTTCCGGACGGAGCGCGGATGTAAGATTCGCTCGTATCTCATGTAAATGTATGCACCGCAGCCCCGTTTTGAGGGGAAACGTATCGCGCGAAACAATATCTTCCGGAGAGCGGCAATGATAGACGTCGTCTCCGTCACGTTCCTCCAACTTTCGGTGTGAAAATAAAGGGAGCGGATGTGCCGTAAAAATTGCAACGTTACGTTGTCCTCGATGAAAATCGACTCGCCCCCCACGCCCGGCGAAAAATTGCACCGATATCTCCCCCCGCTGTACGTTTTTGCCGCACATTTTGCGCAAACCGACGGCCGGCCTTCGCTCGATATTATTAAATTCACTTTTTCGAGTGAGGCGAGATAACCACCCGAGAGGATAAATCGCAGGTAGGTATACCGACTTACGCTCGCTGCTCGTTTCAAAGTGCATCATAATCATTCCCATAAATCATCCTTGCAGTTAAGTTATTGCAAACTGCCTGTTCGGTCATCATCCGCGGTCTCATAGGAAATCATGATGCCTGCAGATAGAAAGGTGTTGCGGACAAATACGAAATAATGCGAGCCGTAAAAATTTACGCGTCCTTCGGGACGCGAATTTCAGTAGAAAAGCAAGATTGAACAATATCGAGTCGGTGGTATGGATGAAAATGTGTTTTATCCATAAATCCAGAATAAAAACGTGAGCATGCATCTATATTGAACATAAACATTTCTGAAATAAATATACACATTTTTTAATTCCCTATACACCTCTGTGTTTATTTTAAATCCAATTCTAAAACTTTCTCAGCGTAATAATCCACCTTTCCGAACTTAATGTTGTTCCAATTTGTGACTTGAATGTTTAAAACTTCGATATAATTCGTAGACCCATGGCTCTTCCCTAATGAGTTACAAAAAAGCTCGAGACAAGTTTTAAAAGAAATCCCGATAATTGAATATAAAAGATAGAGATTCAAAGGATATCGAAGAATATTTTTTTATAATTATAAAAATTATCTGGAATACAGCTTCATATTTTTCTTATACAAAAAGACTGTCTTTTCCCCCTATTTTAATCAAGAGTGATGATACTTTTCGATGCAAGTTTTAACACGCAGAATGTTCTAGAAAACATTAAATAAAAATATGTTATTCTTAGGAGCTTGAAGAATTCTCATCTCCACCATCTCGAATCTGGAGGAAGAACTTGGACCATTGCTGTGGAAGAGAACGATAGAGCAAAGGTAATAACAAAGGAAAAATTGTATTACATAGGAATAAATCGGACTGTACATAACATGTATTTCACAATTCGCCTCTCTGTATAAAAATATAATATAACATACAAATCGATCATTTATATAAAGTCTATCAAAAAGTAGTAACAACAGCACTACGCAAGCGCTTTAGAAGTGTCCGTCCCTCTCCAAGAGCAATGTTTCATTTAATAAAAAGCTTCTCACACAGAGGGAGATTACAAAGATATCAAGACTTTCATCAAATTAATATACCATGTGATACTTCTTTCAATTTGTTCAACGACACATGTGTTCCAATAAATATTATCAAAGGATAAATCTTATAAATTGGCCCAGTAGTCGAAGAATTATACTGTATGTGATATACATATTGCATATAATGTCACGAGAAATTGGTACATGTGCGTCAGCAGAGATGGAAAGATCGCTCGTTTCTAACGAATCGAGATTAATCCGTAATTGTGTTGATTCATTCGAATGGGAAATAATTACACCGTATGGCGTATTCCAATTTCAATTAGACCGTCGCGACAGCATCGAAAGCATGATTGCGATGCCGTAATGCGACTCGTCGAAAAACATGTGGCACCAACGGCAAAATAATGTGGGCCGCCAAATGTTTACTCAATCAACCAATCAACAAGTCGGTCGACCGACATATTTTACATGCCGTTGTAAGCTGGCCCGCCGCCACCCTCCGGCACGACCCAATTGATGTTCTGGCTCGGGTCCTTGATGTCGCAGGTCTTACAGTGAATGCAATTCTGCGCGTTGATCTGCAATCTTTCGCCGTCTCCGCTTTCCAGCGGCACGAACTCGTAGACACCTAAAACCAGATTGCACACACGTGTTTCAGACTCGCGTAACAAACTGCCCTCGCATATCTTCCTCTCTCTCTCTCTCAACGATTGTAACGGAGGGTTGGAGACACGTCCGAAACCCACAGACCATCCCGCCCCGAGCCGCAGAACCGTGAAAATTATTACCGATTGTGATAATGCAAGTAACTAACTTAACTTTTTCAAGAATAACTTTTTCTCGGAAGCCAGTCGTCCGGCTATCCTGCGAAAATGCTAATAATGTCGCAATGCGCAGGATGATTTATTCAGCGCGATTTATTCAGCAGACGCATATATTCTCGGCACTCTGCGGAGTGCGAGATTTACGCCGCGAAGGTCACATCGTGCCCTCGGCCAGACAGTCGATAACCTGGTCCCCACCATCTTCCAGACGGCGCAGCTATCCCGTAGGAAAGCTCCCAGACGAATTCCTCGTCGGTCGTCGGGTCCGTGAAAGGAAACAGGAAGACGCACCCCGGAGACGCGGCAGGGAAAAGTACGGGAATGAAGAAAGAACGTATCGTAAAAATCAAAGGTGGATGTTCAAGAAACAATGGCGAGAGAGCAGACGCATAAATTTGTCCGGTTCGAAGGCGTTTACGTGACATAATAGGATATATTCACGCAAGCTTTCAGCCGTAAGGTGTAAATTAAGAGGAACGCCCAATAAATTGTTATAATGCTGTGAATTTGAACAATAGAAATTTAAACCGGTCGGACGGTTTTGCGAATTCAATGAGAATAATCAAACTTCGTTCTTTTTTTTCAGCTAAAATTCATGTAAATTCCATCCCAATAGAATTTTAGTTACAGTTTCACAAATTAAATTCCCGAATATTTCGCTAATTAAAAAGAATTACAAATCGTGGCTATAAAAAAAATTAATCTTTTCAACAAATCTGGAGATTAACCAGTCACCGGCTTATAGGAACATGCTCAATTATTTTTGTAACGCAATTTGTCTTCCATTTTTTGCCACAAGTATCCTCGATTTACACGAAGTATTTGTTTCGCAATTTGTTTCATTCGTAGTTGTGAAAATCGCGTAAATGGCGTCTGCCAGTAAAAAGAGTACATGAGAAAAAAGCGTATGTTGTAAAAATATTATTTCATGTATTTGCATAAAAATGATAATAATGAAAGTTGAGTAAAACAAATTAAAATTTCATTTGTCGCTATCAGTACTGTACTCCGATGTAATGAACATTTTTAATACAATAAACCTTTTTTTTAATTGGTTCAAAATTGTCCTCGTTACTAAAATATTTGACACTTCTACTTCAATTTCATTATCGGTGGATTTCTTTGAAGAATAGATTTTCCGACCGCATAAAATGAAATCGTGTAAAACTGAGAACGCGTATAAAAAGTACACATTACTTAACGCGTAAAATATCACGTAAAACGTAGATAGTGCGTAAATCGAGGGATACATGTCTCTATTCCATCCTTCGCGTCTGCACGATATTAATTTTGCGAACTACGAACGAACTTGTTTTGAATTTACCATATTACAGCAACAACATCTCTATATAACTTCCACGAAATTATATTATTAAATTTAACAGTAATTACAGTTGCCTTGTCCGCGATGCAGCAGAAAATGATCGTCAAGCTGTAAAAGCTATATTTGCAAAAAGTACATTTAATAATAAAAGATACTCAGATTAAAAAAATTAAAATTTCATTACATTAATAATTAATATAAAATAATATAAATTTATTTCTCTTCTGGAAAAATCATTCCTATATTATACACGTATATAAATAATATACCTTGCTATATTTGAGCAAATATTGAAAAGTTGTTACTAACAAATTTCATCATTATTTGAAGTATTTTCATTGTTTCAGAACGAATACGACACAATAGAAAGATTCTCAAGGAACAAAGAGAGAAAAGATAAATTGACAGTGAGGTTGCTGGCCGGAGCTCCAGGGCGCAGTTCGATTTTGGGGATTGAGCTTGGTCCGGGGTTGTCTAGCCGTGCGGGGGTTGTCCGGGTGGCTCAGGTTCAAGGACACAACGGTCGATAAACCCCCGACAAGACTGGAAAAGAGGAAGAGGGGGAAAGGACGTAGCTCGAGGGCGGAAGTGGAAGGAGCCTGCCTGCAGACTGCGAAAATTTATTGCGAGCGAAATTGATTTCTCTTCATAATAATATCCTTCGAATGCTGAATAATTGTGCATTAGATAAATTTTTCGGAAAGCAAGCAAATGTTTAAACAATTAACAATACGGAAATGAGAATGTTAAACATTCACTACATTCGTGGAACAGATATATTACATTTTATTTTTACTCCAGCAAATTTTAATAATATATTCGGATTAAACTTTCATTAATACATATATATTAAACAGTTAAATTATGTGCTTGGAAAAATTAAAATTATCTGTTAAATATCTGAAAACGAAATAGGACACGCGCGGTATAAAATTACGCAAGATAGATATCAAACTCTGCAATGCGGTAAGTATACTACTTATTCATTCTTAACATAATGAATTTCTCCGTTTGCGCCAACAGAATAAGACCATTTGTTGGACAAATTGATATTGGTATTAATGAGTACTTCCAGCATTTATAAGAGAAAGTATAAAAGATATTGCATTATAATTTTCAAATCATATAGCCAAATAAATAAAATTGATTACGAAAGAAATTGCACAAATAACTATTAATAAATTTATGTGGTAAATGATCACATTAGTGGCGATCGTGGCGCAGAGGATTGTGCGCTGGTCTGGTAATCCGAAGACCCGGGTTCAAAACCAAACAAAAATATTGTTGGTTTTTCGTTCGATCGCCACATAGCGAAGTGGATATAGAGAGAGGTGTTATAAGAGGTTTGGGCACGTTCCTTCAAAAACGCCTTGTAACCCTAAGGGGAATCAATAAAATGTACTAGTACTACTGTCTATATTACTCTCGAATTGTATCAAACAGACTTGACAACATAATATAAAAGAGTAATTTTCGGACATCACATTTGTATTCCCGCTATAGACTGTAAAAAGTGCGACGAACAACTGATAATCACGGTTCACGAATGGTACATATATTCATGAAGTGTCAACTGCAACACGGTAACTGCGGCAGTTGACACTTCATAACTATATGTATTATTCGCGAACCGTGTAATTATCAATTGTTCGTCGCACTTTTTACACTCTATAGCGGGAATACAAATGTAGTAAATCATTATATAATTACCAATTAATAATTTACAAACAATTTTGTATTTGAGATATTTTTACCGAATACTGAAACACTGAAAAATTAGCCTTTGTTTTCCAAAGAAAGTAAAACACGTTCATGAATTAGTATAACTAATAATTTATAAAAATTTAAATATTTTAAAAATAAGACATAATGAGGCAAATCTATAGATACATAATATTTTTCCCATATTTTATTTGCGATTTAAAAATGTACCTTTTCGCAAAATAAATTTACTAACTAAAATATACCCGTGAAAACATTAATCTTTTTGTATGGCGATAATGTTAAAGTTAATTTATACTAAACAAAATAGCATTTAATGTAAAAAAATTAAATTTATTTTCCCAGTTTGCAATAAATGTATTCAATAAATTAAAACTATCTTTAAAGTTCATTAGGTCAATCTATTATGCGATCGCAAAAGTGGAGTATCCAACATACCATCAAGCAAAACTCAAAGTAATCATAACATATTAATAAAACGATAAATGTATAATCATGCAGTAAATTGACTTACCAGCAGGGCAAAATCGACCTTCTGGGCCAGCAAATTCAGCCAAGTTTCTCTTTACTGGAACGGTGTCATCCATCAAAGTTAAATGAGCCGGTTGATCAGCTTCGTGATTGGTACCGGTTAAAGCTACTGAAGACAGAAGATCGAAGGATACTTCATTATCCGGCTTAGGGTATTCTATCGGCGTCGATTGAGCTGCGGATTTCAACCTCTTATGATCAGGACCTGCACGGTATGGAAATGTTTAAAACACCATATTTGAAATTAACATTTGCAATATTTTGCAGGAAGCCTCTTCAAAAGTCGCCGCATAAATCTTACCTCCGTGAGATAAAGTCCACGGCTCCCTTCCGCCCAGGAACATGGAGAAACCAGAGTACATTAAACCGCCGTAAAGTCCAAGTGAAGAGTGGAAGCTGGGCCTCATATTTCTTACGGCCTTCAATTCCTTATAGATCCAGCTACTCTTTATTTTGTCCGTGTACGTTTTCGGCTCTAAGCCTTTCGTCGGCGAGGTGTTACTTTCCGCGTCTATAATGGCTTCCATAACGCTTTCTGCAGCCAACATGCCACTTTTCATGGCATTATGAGTTCCTTTGATTTTGGGCACATTTAGAAAACCTGCCGTACATCCAATAAGGCAACCACCGGGGAATTGGAGTTTAGGAATAGATTGGAATCCACCTTCCACCAATGCTCTGGCGCCATAAGCTATCCTAGAATTAAAAAGGGAGCAAACGTTGAGGAATACAAAGCAATACGTAGAATTAAAATCTCGTATTAAAGACACCAACCTTTTCCCTCCTTCAAACGTTGGTCTAATACTAGGATGCATTTTAAATCGCTGAAACTCTCTGAACGGAGACAGGTAGGGATTGGTGTAATCCAATCCTACGACAAAGCCTACTGCGACCAGAGGCGTTTCTTCATTCAAGTGATACAGAAACGATCCGCCATATGTATTTCTATTGAGTGGCCAGCCAACCGTATGCTCCACTGCTCCAGGCCGATGTTTGCTCGGCTCTATTTCCCAAATCTTTTAAAAATATCTTATCTTAGAATATAAAACATCTCACATTTATGTATCCTTAAAATTTGTTTAGGTGTAACTCGATGATAATTACCTCTTTCAACCCGAGGCCATACGTCTGCGGCTCGCAGTCTTTCCGAAGATTCAATTTCTTTGACAACTGTTTCGTCAGGTGGCCGTGGCAGCCTTCTGCAAATATGGTACATTTTGCGTGAAGCTCCATACCCCGTTCGAAAGTATCTTTGGGCGAACCGTCTTTAGCAATACCAACATCATTCGTGGCCACTCCTTTAACGGAGCCATCCTCGTGATATAAAACCTCTGCCGCCGCGTAGCCAGCATACATCTCGACACCGGCAGCTTCTGCTTGCTCCCCAAGCCATGTCACTACATGGCCCAGTCTGTATACGAGGATACAAATGTTTACAATCGAGATAAATGTACTGCTTAGCCCGTATTCATGAATCTATGAACGTGTCAAGTTTCAATCTACCTTACTATATAATTCCCATGATTATACATTGGCATTCCTTTGAAGATCGGTATAGATAGCCTTCTCTTTTCCGTGAGAAATGCAAATTTATCTTCTGTAACAGGAGTGTTTAACGGCGCGCCTAGTTCCTTCCAATTTGGAAAGAGCTCGTTCAGGGCGATTGGGTCCAAGCAAGCGCCGCTGAGGATGTGCCCACCGATTGCGGACGCCTTTTCAACGAGGGTAACCCTGAGTTCCTTGCCGTGTTTCTCAGCCAGCCTGCGAGCCTGAATGGCTGCCGATAATCCCGCTGGACCACCGCCGACAATTAGAATGTCGGTTTCGTCCACGAATCTCTCCATGTTCACATCTGGCGGATGAAGAAAGAGTATTCCGAGTTATCCGTATTAAGCCTGCGGTACACGATGCTTCGCTGGCTGGCAAGAGCCAATCAGGATGCAATTTTAACTCATCTGACCCACAAGGTGTAAGGGCCTGAGCAGAATAGCTGTCTTGTACTCTTAAAACAATGTTTTAAATCTTTGTCTTAAAGTAACGCACAATAACTGCCTTGTGACTCAAGAATATAAGACAGCCATTCTGCTCAGACCCTAACATTCCCGTGACCAATCAGAAATTCGCCTCAAACCTTCTAACTGCAAATCATTGCGGTTGAAAGCACCAATGAACAATTTGCTCCAAAAATTGGTTACGTGCTTACAATGTTTTGTCTTGTATTTTTACATCCCGATCTGACACGTGGAATCGTGATTGGCTCTCACTAGCAAGCAGAGGTGCGCGCAAGCAAACCAGCAAGCAAAAAAGCACCGTGTGCCGCTGGTTTTATTCCGAGTAAGAAAAATTGAAAAAGTCATATACCTTTCCATCTTAAGTCCGTCTCCCTGGATTTCACCGTGTAATGAGTGGTGATCTGGGGAAACTTCGCATCCGAGTAAGCCCTCGGGAAAATCCTTTGCAGCCTCTGTACTGCCGAACCAAAATTTAATTAGAGCATACAGGTACCTGCGCTCGAGTTGAAGCATTTTGTTGTGTGCACAGTAAACATTATGGCCATTTTCAGAATGTGCTTACAACGACGTGCTGGCAAGTCAAGATACTAACGTTTTTATTGATCCAAGACTAATAAGAATATGCACGTTAATTGTGTAAATGTGTAGACCCAGTGAACATCGAGCATCAGTCATGTGTGTTATATTGCATTTACATTGTTGAGTGAGAAATTTTAGCATAAATGCAATGTAACTGATGCTCGGTGTTTACTGGCGACTGATTAATTGCAGTTTTATTAGTCTTGGATTAATACAAACTCTAACATCTCGACGTTGTAAGTTCTGAGTCTATATTGGCACGCGAAAGTACACATGGGTGGAAAATAAGGAATCCATGTATGTTACAATTTCGAATTCATATGTTTACAATTTTGTTAACTCAGGGGCCTATTTTGTAAACGTTAACGACACTCCAGACAGCCAAATCTGTCGGAACGGATTTCGTCAAACGCCCACCACGAATTCGAAAATGTAGCAAGTATAAACTGTGTGCAGTCACGTGTAGCTGCTACATCAACGTATCGATCACGAGATTCTGACTTCGCAAAGTTTCGCGTTTCTGCAAGAATTCGTTTTCTTCGTCGCAATAAATTAATATTCCAAAATGTAGTAAAAGCTACCGAAAAGAAAGTACGTAGAAAAGGGGGAAAGTGCCAATGTGAGCCACAAAATGAACAGAACTCGGTTCTCACCATTTACAATCAAAATTTCTAATAAGAAACAAACGTTTCGACCCTTCTAGAATAAGAAATTTATATTCGTTCCTTTCGTCCTTTTTATCTCGAATAAAAATATGTTCCCGCTAGCAGAAACGAAAATTTGCTTCCTCGGCCAGAAATAAATGTTTGCGAGCTTAAAAATAAGACAACCCTCTCTCGCGATTTGAGGAAAGGACAACCGAGACAGACGGTACAGAATTAAGTGCAGAAAGTGGACCTTGAGCACTTGTGAGATATTTATACGTCGCGGGGGCAAAGGGCAATCGTGCTTGTGCCGTTCGCCCATCACGTAATCGCTCGATATTTATGAAAATAAAAGATAGAAACACAAAAAATGCAAATTAAACAACCACCGGTATTCCAGGCACTAAATCTATCGTCGAAATGCGCGCGCGCGCGTGATTCACGATCGCGGAATAAACAATAAAAATATTTACGCACGACCATACTTTCTTTTTACGATGCATTGAACGCGTCCTTTAACGACGTTACATAACGCGCGATATATTTTCTAAATCGCCAATCGCCTCGTCGGCGCTCGCGAGGCCTCGCGTTCCAGCGAACGGCCGCTCGTTCCCCGAGAATCGAGCCAATTCCGAGCGGTGCGACTTGTTTTCGAGTCGAGTTGTCAATTCGTCACGACGAGGTTACACGCAACTGAGAACCTTCCGATGACGACTTACTTACTGGTGCCGGACGCGCTGAACATCGCGGAAGCCATGATCGCGCAGAGACAACGTGCACGAACTACCGATCGGCGCGATCGACGACCTGACAATTGTGCACAATTGTGCCAAGTGGAAAAACAGAAAATGCACCGAATTGCACTCGCCGCGTTGTCGTTCGAGCGCAAGTAGCGCCCACGCATGAAGAGAAGTACCCCCCAGAGACACCTGTGCGACGCGAGTCCAACCGCGTCGCGCGTCCGAGTCGATAAATCAAGGAATCGAATTGCCGCAAAGTACCGTAAAACGTCCCACATCTGCGCTTCCCACATCTGCGCGCGTCCCATATCTTCGCTAGTTTCCGTCCCACATCTTCGCGTTTTTAAACATAGACTTCTATAGACGGAACCTTTTACGAGGGGTAACTGATAATCGCGGTAAGGGGATCACTCGTCTGACTTCGACTCTTTCCGGTGAGATTCGGTAATATTCGGTTCACATTTCCAATACGTGTGCACACGTATA